GTTTATTTAGATGCTGAAGCATCTGATACTATTAAGGCGTATCAGAAGGAATACGTAAGATCTGAGTATGCTACTTTTAGCATGCCTACTAATAAATTTTACTTATTCATAGGGTACGGACTTATCATCAAGATCAAAAGGCATTTTGGGATATGGATAGACCCTAAACCTGGTTAGTAGAGGTTCACAAAGGACATGGCTACCTACAGACTGAGCACTCACAGTAACTTGCCTTACAATATCCAGGCTTAGCTTTCATCTCCATGACTCGACAAGGTCTGTCTCCTTTATCGTAACATTCAAACTTTTATACAGTAAGTGAAGCAAGAAAGACCCCAGGGCAAGTACTTGATGGAGTGATAGCACCATGACTTGCCTACTAAAGGAGACAGTTTTTAATTAAGCGTTATATGCCCCATTAAAAAACTTGCTCCTTCCTGTCATCATCTCCCACTTGCACACTGTATTCTGGTGAGATTTCCCTAGTCTGCAGTCTTTCCTAGTGTGGTCTAAGGCAGTATTTAGAAAATTACCTTTGGAAACTCTTGGTAAAGAATAATGCCATCCTAATCTTGGATCTGGAAAAGAAGTAAGTCCTCTTAGGAAACAAAGGGAAAAATACCAGAAACTGATCATAACATTCTCTGTTGTACAAGCAAAGGCAGAAAGACTCCTACCAAACTCGGAAAGTTGACACACGCATGTTTGTAGGGTGGGTACAGGAAACACAATGCTCATTAATGATATTCCTCTTCCTGGATCAGACAATCAGATCAAACTTTTTTGCACCGACTTTGATCAGTTCAGTGCCTTATATAAAAAGAGATCCCTTCATTATGTTCTTTTGTACACCTGAAACTAATAAAAAAAATTATTCAAAAAAAAAAAGGACCCACCAATTTCTATCTTATTACATGTTACTCCTCTGAAAATAAGAATAGCAATTTATCTACTTAACCAAATTTATTTAACATCTATAAGCAAGGCGCAGAGGTAGGCTCTGTGGTGAATACAGAGTTATAAAAGACAAGATTCCTGCTCTCAAGGAGCACACATTCCAGTATGAAGATGATGCAGATTTACCAAAAACCATTGCTTTAAGTTAATGAGATCATGGGGGAAATCCGTCAGTGCCATCATTTCCCCATCACCTCACATTCTATATACAGCTCAAACCCTGATGCCTGATAGACTGTAGCCATCTCCAGGGCTAGCTTCAGGGCATGCAACGCACCCTGTGCAGCTGCACAGGGCCCCACCCTCAGAAGGGCCCCATGCTTGGTTTAATCCTCTGCTATTGCTGTCTGGAAAGTCTTAATAATCTTATTTTTGAATCTGTGTTTGGTAAGTGAAGTTCTGTGGGACAACGGAGCACGCACGTGAGCAGTGGACACACAACGGGAGGTAATGCATATGTGTGTGCAAAGGGCTCGGGCAATGCAGGCATACACAACCCCAGCATACACGCACATGCCTCAGAGCAGTTCAGGGTGCAGCTGGGTGGGTGCCTGGGCCCCCACACTGCAGGGATGATGGTAGCAGCAGCAGTAGAAGCAGAGGCAACCGCCATGGCCCCAGAGATGGGAAGGGGACCTGCATGGGGATCGCGCCCAGCCCCACAGTGGTGGGCCAGTTTGCCAATCCCTGTGTCATCTGCACAAATATCATCCCTACAGCCTAACATGGGGACTGGAATTGCTGGCACCCGGGCAGCAAACTGTCAGTAAATTAGCACAAAATAAGAATGTATACATGAACATCAAAATAGAACATTTGGGGGAATTTTTAGAATCTTAAAAGATTTAGAATCTAATTTTGAAAACTGCTGCAACATTGCAAAGCAAATAACCACAGGTGTAGAAACAGACATTAAATATAAAGATCATCACAGTCTATAGAAAATAACACTATTTTCATATGAAGGTTTGAATGAAACAATTGTTAATGAGGAAGACAATTAAAAAAGTTTCCCTTGTAATTGAAGATACAATGACACAAGGCCGGAACAGGACTTTTGAATTACACTCAAATCATGTAGACACTTTCAGTTTGTATGACCTCCACAAGCTTCAGAAAACATTTCCTCAAGTCTGAGGAAACATTAAAATGCCATTGTATAAATTTATACTTAAAATTTAATTCAGACTTACATAAAACTAATTTATATGAAAAAATAAACATTTTGAAAAATTGTTCCATAAGACTCAATACTCCAGAAGTACTAAAGTTTATATTTTAAAATAATTTATTAGAAATTTATCTTAGTGTTGTCACAGCCTATAAAATATTCTTAACAGTTGCATCAGCAGAGAGATCCTTTTTTAAATGCACTATCTTCTTAAAAAACCCTATAATGTGATTTTTCACTTATGCTTATTATTTTATTGTCTTTCTGCCCTCACTGGAATGTAAGGTACATGAGGGCAAGTTTTGTTATTTTGGGGTATTTTTTATTGTTTTGTTCAGATTTGCTGTACAGTTTCCAAGAGTGATGGATGTTGCTTTTAGTCATATCTATTGAAAAAAACTGCATGAAATGAATGTCTTATCTATTGAAAATGAAAATAAAATGGCTAGTATAAATTTTGATGAATTTGCAGACAAGTGAGCCAGAAATTTTTCATAATCAATCAAGGTATCACATTAATAATCTACTATTGTTTATTATATTATATAGCATTGACACCAAAAATAGTACATTTGTAATTTTTAAGTTCATTGAGTTACTCATGTATCACTGCTATCCCCATTTCATTAGTACCTTTAACTGCACTTTTTCCTGCTTTTTGAACATGGGTCCCACATTTTCATTTTGTAAATGGCCCTGCAAATTATATACAGGTAAGAGCATGACAAATTTTTGTCATAAGCCATTACTGAAGACAGTTCATCATTATGAATGCTTAAGAAGTAAGCATTACCCTCAATGTGGGTGGGCCTCATCTAATAAGTTGAAGGCCATGAGAGCAAAATCTGAGGTTTCCTGGTGAAGAACGAATTCTACCCCAGAAAAGAGCAAGAAATGCAAAAAAAAAAAAAAAATGCATGTTCTTGATAAAGATCTACATAAAGCTAAAAAGGATCCACTGAATTATAATTATTTTTTCATTTTTGTATGCTGATTGTTATATAAAAAAATTATTTCAGGAATTAAGAAACAAAGAAGCAGCATATTTATTCATGTTCGAAACAAGATCTATCAACTAGTAGGCGTTTGATCTATGTTAAGAGTAAAACAACATATGTAATAGTATGAGCTGGAGAGCAGAATCTGGCATAAGGAAAAATCTGTATTTTATCCAAAACGGATGTCACGAAAAAGCAATTTGAGACAATGCTTCCAATAGGTTAGCATCCTGCTTAAAATTATGGTTTTTGCTATCCAAAGCATGAGTTTTACAGAGTTAAACATCTATTCAAATGAGGGTCAAACTCAGGTACTTGATAAGCACTAAGTCTGTCAGATTGTCCTATCAGCATTCTGTGATTTTCAAATACCGAGAACTATTTTTCAATGATTAGAAAAATGGCACCACAATATGGACCCCATTCTATGCTTGGTTTCTTTGGAACTGACGATTGTCAGTGGACTTGACATAGACACAAAATCACAATAGAGATAACTTACATGTGAAATTGAAATATCAGGGAAAAGCACTTAAACCAGATAAACCAAATTTGCTTCCCATAAAACTAAAAAAGATCCACTTAATTATAATTGTTTTTTATTTTTGTATGATTGTTATATTTTAAAAAATATTGCAGGAACTAAGAAACATAAAGATGCATATTTATGAAAAAACAATTTTAGCTCTATTTTCTTAATTTTAATGAAATTACAGATTTCTAAGTGACATAATTTTGTTTCAGTGCTTTTAATGGGCCCACTTTAGCCACATTTCTAGTGCTAAATTGTTAAAATAGACTGAGATAAGCTACACATGTACAGAAGCACACTGAGAAACATCATAAACAATATTTTAAAAATTAGGAAAAAATAATTGCAATACATGTAAGAATAGAATTAGAAAACAAATATTCATAATATATAAAACCCTCTTACAAATTAGTGACAGAACAACTTTGCTGCATGCCTCTGTTTTCTAGGATGACTATATGAAAGTTAACTTTGAAAAAAGAAAAGCAAGTGAAAAGGAACTTTCTGAGGAGAGAGTAGAAAGGCATTCCTCTGTCTGGCTGGTGCTGGGTGAACCGAATGACTGGTGATTCTAGGCTGAAAGAGCCACGGGGCTTCTGTTAGCCCCAGCTCCCGACCTTCCCACTCATCCTTCCCCCCTGTGCCTCTCTAAATCACTACCTAGTACCAGAAGCTCGGATTTTAAATTGAAAATAATTTCATGAGTTAAGACAAAGAGTAAGTGTGTTGGTTAATCAGATTGCATCCCATCAACAAAGTGGTTAAAAAACAAAACGAGACTAGCTATTTATCTAGGTATAGTCTCCCAGAAAGGGCAGGACTTTGGCATGTTCACTGCAGGCCTCTTGTTACCATGAATATGTGATTCCAGTCACATGGAGGGTGTATGGTTAGGATATTCTTATATTGTAGGTCTATAAATTACTATGTATAGATGAGAAAGTTGGACAGTGAAGAAGGCTGATAGGAAAAAAACTGATTCATTGAAAATATGTTGGGACATATGAGGACCAGTGACACTGCCCTCTACAGCTAAGATGCTGAACAACAGCTCAACCTGGAGCTGGGCAGCCATGAGTTGCCACGGCGTAGGCTGTAGCCCCTGCTGTAGTGGGTTGCCATGGGCTACCGTGTGTAGCCAGTAGCCAGGGTGAGTGGCCAGCATGAGCGGCCGTCCAGAAGCTGGTGACTGATCTGCCTCGCCCGGGAAGAGCGCAATGATGGTGCCAACTGGGGCCAGTGAAGCAACGTCCTCCACAACTAGACTGAAGAACAAAAGGACAGCAACTTGTCTGTTCCCCTTCCCCCAATTCCCCAATAAAAATCTTTAAAAAAAAAAAAAAAAAAAGAAAATATGTTGGGACGAGAACTCTACGGATACCCCAGACCACCAGAAAGATGAACCAGTGAGTTAAGCTTGAAACATCGCTGGAGGCAAAAATAACAAAATTGAAGTTGTCCTACTTTGAGCACATGATAAGAGACAAGATTCTTTGGAAAATAGGCAGCAGGAAAAGAGGAAGACCCAATAGGAGATGGATTCACTCCATAAAAGAAGCCATGGGCTTGAGTCTACAGGAGCAGAGCAGAGCTGTTGAGAACAGGACACTGTGGACATCATTCATTCATGGGGTGGCCAGGAGTCAGAAGCAACTCAATGGTATGTAACACACACACAAGAACGCGCGCGCGCACACACACACACGTCTAGAAAGGACCAAGCTCTTTGCTCCAGCACGTAGAGAAAGGATTGCAAACTGGCAGGCAGGCCAGGCCCAACTCAGACAGGTGTTGTTTTGCCTGCACAGTTTTATAAAATTTTAAATTAGAGAGTGTGATGGTTAATTTTATATGCCAAATGGGCTAGGCTATGATGCTCAATTGTTTGTTCAAAAACTAATCTAGATGTTGCTGTGAAGATATTTGTAGACGTGATTAATATCTATGATTAGTTTAAGTAGGTTACCCTCAATGTGGGTAGGCCTTATCTAATAAGTTGAAGGCCATGAGAGCAAAATCTGAGGTTTCCTGATAAAGAAGGAATTCTACCCCAGGGCTGTAATATACAGATTGCCAAAGTTTCCAGCCTGCTGGCCTGCCCTAAGCATTTCAGACTTGCCAGCCCCCACAATCACCTGAGCCAGTTCCTAAAAATAACTCCATATATGTATACGCACACACATATATACATTTATATGTACATATGTAAGAGTGTATGTGTGTGTGTGTGTGTGTGTGTGTGTGTGTGTGTGTGTATCTGCAAGGGAAGTTGGGAAATGTTTCATTTTCCAACTTCCCTTGCAGATAGCTGTGGTCCCATGCAGCTAAGTTCTAGCCAATTAGATATAAATAGGTGTGCTTTGTGGCAACTTCCTTAAAAGACACATGCCTGTGTCCCCTTCTTTTTCCAGCCAGTCCTCCATCCTGCTGTTTGGACCAAGCTGTTGCAGCTCCAGCAGCCATACTGGGTCATGAAGATCAAGGTCACACCCTAGAAATGACAGAGTGGAAAGTTGGAAGGAACCTGAATCCCTGATCACTGTGGAGCTGCTGGATTTGTTCTGAAATGCCTCGCGACAGAGAAAAACATTCCTATCTAATTTATGCTAGATGTTGTTTTGGATTTTCTGTTATATTTAGTGGAATGTAAACCTAATCTTAAAATTAGGAAATTTCACATAAAAATTCCTGTCTCTTGCTTATCCCTTAACCATTTGGACTATCTGGTAAACTTGGTTTCATGCTCCCCATCTTGGCAATTGCCTAGGGCAGGATAATGGGTACTCACTTGCTTTAGATGTGGCTGGAGACCCAGCAGGTTCTTTTTCTTTGTTTAAGTTCCTAGAGGTATTTGAGTTTGCCACCCCTGAAATGGATGTTGGGTTTTTATTTCTACAGTGTGATAGGCCTTTGTACAAACTTATTTTGTCCTCTTAGGCTGTTTTCCCAGCTACTTTTTGCGGGGAGTGGGGCAAGATGGAAAAATCTGTTTGCTTCATTTTCAGCAAGAACATTCCCAAACTGGCATAGTCTGCAAAGGGAGATATTTCAGATGCTGGTGGAAGCAGGGCCGGCCCTCTACCCTTTGAGATACCATGTCAGTCTGTCTTACATGCCTGCCTGTGGGAGGAGGGAGCGCAGGTCTCAGTGTCCACAGACTTTTCATGGTGAGGAAGTTCCACTCTCAAGGCATGGGAGGAGGGAAACAGAGGGTCTTCCACTCCATGGCTGCAACTTTTCTCATTTTAAAGACCTTCATCTAGTCTAATGAATTTGTATTCCTCTAGTCCATATAATTTTGACCCAATTTCTCACTAATACGCAAACCTTACTTTAGTGAAAGAGCATCACCCTCACCCAATTTCCAACCACTTCTCTGCCCTGGATCACATCAGCAAACATCCCCTGTACTGACTTGAGAATGGAGAGAATGGCCTGAGAGGGTTTCCCCTAACCTGGGGGAGGGGCTTAGAAGATGGAGGTTGGAGTCCAGTTGCTGTCAGACCTAAATGGACCTGACAATCGTTTGGGGAGGAGAGACATTCTAGGTTGAAGGGTTCTTGGTGAGTTAAAGACCGATTCTTGTCTTTGGCTATGAATGAACTCAAGGCCACTAGGGTGTGAGCAGGAAGTAAGATGAACTCTATCTCTCAGAATCAGGCTAAGGACAAAGAAGGCATAGAAAACTCTTCCAAGCTGCTCAGGCCTTTTGGGAGGAATCTATGGGTGTGGGATGAGACTGACTTTTAAAGGGGAAGGTATGACAAGATCAGAAACCTGTGTTTTTGAGCCAGACTATTTCAATGTCTAGATTTGTTTTTTCTGTCTTTTCATTCTCAGAATTTTATTAAACTAATGATTCATTCATATCTGAATATCTTCTATGGCCAGGCATTGTTTTAGACCTTGGGAATACAGTGAATAAACCGGTAAGATTTCTGCCCTGGTGGAGCTTACATTTTAGTTGAAGGATACAGATAATAAATATAAGAAGTTAACTATTAGATTATCAAGATAATTTCTGGTAGTGATAAGTGCTATGAAAAAACAAAACAAAAAAAGGGTGAGGGGAGGGGTCTACTTTAAATGGATGAGTAGGAAGATCTCTCTTGAGGTGATATTTACCCTAAATGACTAGAAGAACACCTGAAAAAGAAGTGTTCTAAGAAGAGAAACAGTAAGTACAAAGGTCCTGAGGTAGAAACAAGCTTGGATGGGCATGGCACATGAGGTAGAGAAAATCCAGAGATGAAGTCACACAGAAGGCAGGGGTTAGATCACATAGAACTTTAATTCAGAGATAAGGACTTTGGACTTCAATCTAAGGGCATCTAGAAGTCATTAGATAATGCTAAGCAGGAAAATGAAATCATTTATTTTAATTTTGAAAGCTCACCCTGCTGTTGGTTAGATTATAGAAGTGGAAGCAGGGAGGCCAGTTAGGAGCCTATTTTAATAGTCCAGGTGAGAAATGACACCTAGTTTAGATAAGGTGGTAACCTTGGAGACAGGGAGAGGTGAACAGATTTAGGATCTATTTTAAAGGTAGAGCCAACAGAACTTGCTGGTGGATTGGATGTGGGGGGAGGAGGAAATGAAGAGGAATCTAATAGGAGGTTGCTGGTTCCATTTACTGAGATGGGAAGCCTGAGGAAGAAACAGGTGTTTGGAGAGAAATCAGACACCTGCTTTGTGTGAAATGCCCATGAGACATCCAGATGGAGATGGCAAGCAAACTGTTGGACAAATGAGAATTCTTGGAGAATGTACTCGTATTTAGCATCTTTTTAAAATTTTTGGCCCACTTGTGGAAACCTAGGCGAGTCTGAGAATGGGTCTGAAAGGGCAGTTCTCTTATTCTCCTGGACCCCTACTAGGGCCAGGTCCCCATTATCTAAAGGTTTTAGCATGTCTACAGGTAGCACTATGCTTCACTGAACATAGCAGAAGTGCTTTCGAGTTAGTTAAGAAGGTCAAGCAAGTTGTAAATTACTATTTGTCATTAACTCACATTTCAATTTGCCAAGTGCCTTCTCTTTAATTTTGAATGATTCAGTTAACTCTTAGCATGAAATTTCTGGTTTCTGCTTAACCCCTCTTCTTTCTCATCACTCCCTGCTCTGGCTTTTCTAACCAGCCTTTACTCTGCAGACTGCTTAAAGTAAAAAGATTTCCGCTGGCCAAGTGGTTCAGTTGGTCAAGAGCTCGCTCAAGAGTGCAATAGAGTTGCCGGTTGGATTCCCGGCACGAGCTGAGTTGCTTTAACCCACCTTTTGATGATGGGGGCGGGGAGCAGTGTAGGGAGAGCTCAGGAAATAGTTTGCCTCTTCTCTCCTGAAAAGTGGAGAAAGAAAGAGTGAAACAGACAGCCAGCCAGGTTGGAAGGAGTGACTTCAGGTCTGGTAGCCAGGAGTGCTGGGCTAATACTGAATTCTGAAATCGAGAGCTGTCACCACCCAGTTGCAAGTGGCACTGGGCTGGGAGCAGACAGCCCCCCAGGGAGAGCAACAGACTTTTTCCTGTGGGCTGCACCTCCCGAGAGGAAAAAGGTGGTAGAGCTGAGCCCAGTATGCTCAGTTACTTTGCCCAAATTGACATCATCAGAAGTAAAAAGGTTAAGGCTCTGAGAGAGGCCAGGAAACAATCTTTCTCCTCATATAAAAATGAATGGAGAAAGGGCATTCTCCTCTAACAGATAATGAAAATGTTCACCATTATTTGGTTGGTTTTCTGTTTGAATTTTCAGTAAGTAGGGCACAGTTAAGTTCAACAAACAGGTATCAAGCACAATTCTGCCACTTACTAGTTGCGTAATTTTGGGAAAGTTATTTGACCTAAGTCTCAAGTTTCTCATTTGTAAAGATGAAGATAATTGTAGCTACCCTGTGAGATCATTCGTATAACACATTCAATGCACTGCCTGAATCAGGACAAGCACTCAACAGAGATTTACTGTTACTATTACTTCTGTAATGATGGCTATTACTATTACCATGTTAGGAAATCTGCTAGGTGTTGGGGATATAAATATAACAGACAATCTTACCATCTGAGCTTAAGGCTCAGTCAGGAGGTAGAAATAAAACATATTAAAATATAGTGTAATGCACATACAATAGGATTTCTTACCAGAAGGGTGCCTGCCAGTGATTACATTTAGAAAGATGACATCAACATAGGCCAGGACCAAAAAAAAACAAAACAAATCATTTTGGAATTGTAGAGTTGCCCACATCCTTATTGGGTAGGGGTCAAGTAAGTAGCTCCTATGCTTGTTGTTTTTCTTTGGTTGTTGTTGTTTTTCAAAAAGGAGTTAGTCACTAGTGAGGAACAGGTAGCTTTAAATCCTCAAGATGGTAAAGCTAGAACTAGCCCTGATTTAGCACTTACGAGCACAGAAAGAGCTGGTCACTTTGGAATCTGACACCTGGAGCCCAGACTGGCAGAGCCTGCGGGCCCTTGGATCTGTTTGACACTGGAGCAGGCCAGAAAGGCCCCACTCGGTGCCCACTCTTGACCTAGCATCGACCCCACTGTGTGCGTTCCCCAAGGGGGCAATGCTTTATCTTTTTACTTTACATCTAGTAAACAGCTTTAGCTGCCTTGTCCCTGAGCTACCTCACACTCAGCTGGCCAGGGCTTGGGCATCCAATTATTGTGGAAGTAACCAGGATGCCTCATACAGGGTTTGGGGTACAACTATTGTGTCTCCCACTTCCTCTCCAGAGTGCAAATGTTTGGGCCCCAAAGTCCAGACTATCCTCCCTCCAACTCCCACTCTGTAACCCATAAGTCCTAGCTGCCTCATCTGCTGAGGTGGCTGGGAGATGGCCAGGAGCACTTCCTGTGAGAGAGCTCAGGTGTGGGTGGCTCACCCCAGAAAATATGCCAAGAACCTTCCAGGAATCAGGGACACGTGGCCAGTTTTGTTACATTTACCCTTCTGCCTCAGCCATGAGAATGAGACACTAGACTCCCTTTCAGGTTCCTCTTATGCATAGCTAAGAGGAGAGGCAGATGGAGGGAGGACAGTCTGCACTTCTGGGTTTTCTATTACTGGTAGGTGAGGGTTCAAACATTTGCACCCTAGATGAATTGGGAGGTACAACAGTTGTACCCCAAACTGTGTAGGAGCTATCTTGGTTACTTTCACAATAATAGAACCATGAGTAAGCTACAGTAGCAGGAAGCAAGGAGAGATGAGTTATGTAAGGAGGTATTTGGGGAATATTTCTAAGAGGTTAGGCCTGAACAGGTTTTGGAGGTAGGAATAGTTTACAGCAATAGAATGGTGTAAGTTAATTACAGACAGGAAGAACAGCATGGACAAAACCTTTACTAACTCATGACATAACATGGTTTCTTTAGTGAACCCAAAGTAGCTTTGTCCACTTTGCCAGATTGTTTTAGTGGATTCATTTCTTGTTCCAGCATTTAGTGATAACCTTCCTTAGCTCTTCACAAAATACAAGTTTAATATACACAAATATAGGTAAAGTATGTAAGAGTGCCTGGCACATGGTTAGCCAAACTTCTGATAACTAAATAGCTCAAGTTTTTAGGAACATAAAATGGAAAAATATTCTCAAGCCCAACCATCCACGCTTTCCTGTTTTCTACTCTTGCCCAGCCCCAATACCCATCCTTCAAAAATCCTAAACTCAATTTCAAATGCCATACATTTTAAGAAACCAGTCTAATATATTATAGATGCTGCACAAAACACCCAAAACCAGAAAGGTGTTGCAGGATAAGGGCAATATTACATGTTTTGGGTCTGGGGGTAAACACACAGTATCTAAAACAAAACTTGAAACTTTTCGTGTTTTTTCCTAAGTCTTGTGATGGAGGTTTGTTTTAAATAATCGCATCTTGACCCTCTAAGAACCTAGTCCTCAGTGTCGTGGGAGGCGACACGGAGAATCTGTGAGGGGGTGAGGATCCGGGCCAGGTGTGGCGGTTCCCACCACAAGTGCCACGTAACCAGGGCGCTCGAACTAATTGACATCTAAGAAAGGTTAAGAGAAAACAAAGACCGGCCTGGATATAGGGCAGAGGACTCAGAAAGGAGGAGAAGTAACGTGCCGTGCCATCCTGGGACCGCGGTCAGACAGAGGAAGAGGGTCCCACGTGGAGCGCGAAAAGGATGCGAAGAGAGGAAGGTAACGTGGCGCCGGTACCTGCCGGGTCCAATGGGAAGAGGGCGCGAGCCGCACCTCAACCTGCCCGATGACGTCACGACGCCGAGGCACGGACGCTGGGCCAATGGGAGGCCGTCACGAGCAGAGGCGGGGCCCGGAGGAATCAGGGCTGGGCCGCCCGGAGACAGTTGGCGGAGTCTTGGGGCCGTCGCGGGAGACCGGGAAGCCGAGCCGGCGGCCGCGGACCCCGGCCTCCCCGAAGCCTCGCTCACGCCTGCCCGAAGCCTCACGCCCGCCACAGCCACTGCCTGTATGGTGCCGATTTTTAACTAAGCGGCGGCAGCGGCGAGGCCTGAGGGCCGGCGCCGCAGAGGCGGCTTGGGATTGAGGCTTCCCGTAGCCCACACTTCCTCCTGCGGCGGCCGTCTCGGCGGGCGGGATGGCGGCGGCGGCGGCCCGGGATAGCGGCCGCACATCTGCGCCCCGGCTGCTTCTGCTCCTGCTCGTTCCGCTGTTGTGGGCCTCGGCTGGGGTCCGCGCGGTCCCCGATGAAGACCTCCGGAACAAGGAACCGCTGGCGCCTGTCCAGCAGCTGCAGCCGCAGCCTGCGGCCGCGCAGGTCCCCGAACCGGCCCGGGCCGAGGTGAGCCGCACGGGCCGCGGTGGGCGAGGCTGCGGCGCCCGCTGCGCCGGGTACCAAGCTCTCGGCCGCCTAGAGCGCCGCCCTCGGCCCTGGGCGGCCGGCGGGGGGAGGGGAGCCCTGCCCGGCTGCTGGAGATGAAAGACAGTGGAGGGCGCTTTTTCCGGGGTCAGGCCCGGTCTCGCCTGGTTCTTTCCTTATAGGGGAGGGGAAGGGAAGCCCAGGCTGGGAGCCCACTGGAATCCTTTAAGTTCGGGAGGACGAAGATGGGAGTCTTGTTGATCAGATGTACCCTGTAGAGCTGGAAATAACTCATCCCAAGTAGGAAGTTGAACAGGGCAGCTGGCTTTTCCTATTCCCCGATGATAATAACAACATCGGCCTTTGCATTGTTGAAAAACCTTATCCCAAACTGTTTACCCAAATTCAGCTTTGCACGACCTGTGACTTTTTTTGCCAAATATATATGGATTATGAAACGTGACTCTCACTTTTTAAAAGCGTGCTCTGGCTTGTAGGAAGTAGCCCTTAGGAGCGCAGAGGAATCATGAGTCTTTGGCAGTACTGAGTACTGCAGCGGTGTGGGATGCCAAAACTAAATGTATAAGTATACCAGAACTCTGTTCTTTGGCCTAAAAAGATATTAATTAACGTCTTCATCCATGTCAATAAAATCCCTTCTTTACTTGCATTCAGAATCTCGGCAGCGTTTTCCAATTTCTGCCTCTACCAGTCCTGGGCTTGCTCATTTCCAGTTTGGACTCCTGAGTTCAGACCCTCTGTCCTAGTGGAGGACGGTTTGGCGCTCAACACCCCTCCCCCTCCAGTCTCACCCCAGGCTGCATTCAGCCTGTCGCCACCTAATGAATCTTCCTCAACATTGATTCCTATTTTACTTCTCAGAACTCTTCACTGAGTTCCCGTGCATACTGATTTCAGTCCAGCTTCTTCAGCAGGATGTTCAGGTTTCTTCCTGATCTGGCTCCCATCAGCCTCCATGCTTTTTAGTCACCACTCCCTTGCTCATGTGCTGGACTCAAACCAGAGACTTGCCATGTGCTCCGTTGCTAGTCTCTCCAACAAAAGGCCTCCTTAAAAAAAATAGGGCTTCAGTAAGCTTGACTCGCACTGGTTGAAACATTTCCATCTTTCAAGAACCAAGAGATACCTCTCTCTGTGAAGACTTCCCTACTATTTCCTGGTTAAAAGTGGTTTCTCCTGCATGTCACTCCTGGGCTCAGCTGATCCTGTTCACCATTTCCATTTCTGAAATTGAACTGAAATGCTGATTCATGAAATTTATTCTTAAGAGTTTATCATTTAACCTCCTGTCATTTAACTCGTCAGAAGCTTTTTTCCAAACAGTAACTATTCTGCATTAAGTAACTTTGTGAGTGAGAGATACATTTTGAATGTAACTTTCCAGGGCTTGTATCAAAGTTTTAGTCATATAGTGATTTTTGAGATACAAATAGTGGTCGGTATGGCTATTAATAATGCCCCTTAGACAACTAGGAAAAATACCTAGCTATGCAAAATAAAGTCAGCAATGTCCAGTGACCATATTTAAGTGGCCTTAAATATGGTCTTTAAAATTGGGAATGTGGAGGGAAAGGGCAGACACAATATAATGAGTTTTGTTTTTGATATTTTGATATATTCTTGATGGTTCTTTTCAGATAGGAATTTATTCTAATTTCTTCTATGTTGTAATAGAATCCAGTTGTTTTAATTATACTTTCTTGTAACTTTGATATGGCTCAGCTGTTTCTCTACTTACAGTACAGCAGCATGCTGAAAGAAATTTTTCTTTCAGATGTTTTCTAAACTATGTAATACAAGTATCATTTGGTTTTTTGTCCACTTGGTGGAGGTAAGATGGTCAGAGTTCAATGTAATCATTTAAGCAAGGGTTCAGCATTGCTGAATATCTCAAAGCTTCAACTGTTTTGCTTTGCAAGTACATGCAGTAGATCTTTTTAAAGAGCAAGGTATTTAAACTTAACCTTTTTCATGCTACTGTGAGAGTGGACTTATGAAAATGGAGGGGGGAAAAATCTCTCCATTGGTAGGCATTCAAGTGTAAGATGTATTATAAAAATGTAGTTGTGTCTTGTAGGGTGCTCTGAAGCAAGATAACTGAATTTCTAAGAGATATTTCTACTTTGGGTATTTTTTTTTCTCTATAATCAGATTAAAAAAGTTGGGGGAGTTCACTCTGAACTTACAATTAAACATCAATTTACAAACCCATGAAAAAAAGTACTGTAGATCACTTGGATCCTTTCAATTATGTAGTTTATGCTCTTTTAGTGACTTAGTTTTTTTCTTATTCCTTCCCTGAGCAGAGTATGTAATACCCTTTAGTTGAGGGAGATCACATAGATTTAATAAAGGTGATTTATAATTTGCTGTGTATTCTGGAAGTTCAAAGAAGAACTGCTTTGGTTACATAGCACAGTTGATAAAGCCACAAAAATCTATTATTATATTACCTGACCCAGTACAAATTCTTGCTATTGTATTTCTGCTTTACTTTTTCCTGGCATTTCTTTTATTTATTATCTTTTAACTATGAGAAGGCCTTCCACAATATTTTAAACTTTTTTCTATTTTCATTAAGTTCCATTCCTGCTCCATCTAGTCAAACCTCCCAGTTTTAGCCTCTTTATAGCTAAGATCAAGGCCATCAGGTATGAGGGCTCTAGCCTTGCTCATGATTTGGGTCAGAATTAAATGATCATTATGTTACTGAATTTATTTGTTGGTATTCTACCATTAAAGTAATTCATTAAAATAAAATTAGTGAAATAATTAATACATTTCAAATGTTAGAATTTATAAATACATTAAAAACAATAACATTCACAAAAATACAGTTAAACATTCATAAAAATAAAAAATGTGTTTGTTAGTATGTATTCTAATAGGAATTAACAGGTAACATAAAAAATAAAATATTAAAAAACAAACTAAACTATCCACAAATAAAGACAACACAATAGTGAAAAATTTTAATAGAATATAATTTTATCTTTCAGTGCAATATTTTTTTTTTTAAAGATTTTATTGGGGAATTGGGGGAAGGGAACAGCGCTGGGGAATTGGGGGAAGGGGAACAGACAAGTTGCTGTCCTTTTGTTCTTCAGTCTAGTTGTGGAGGACGTTGCTTCACTGGCCCATGTTGGTGTTATCATTGCGCTCTTCCCGGGTGAGGCAGTCATTTGCTGACCATTGGACAGCCGCTCACGGAGGCTCACAAAAGCTCATGCCAGCTGCTGGCCAGCCCCACTGGCAGCCTACGCTGTCGCACTCAAAGCAGCCCAGCTCCAGGATGAGCTGTTGTTCACCATCTTAGCTGTAGAGGGCGCAGCATCACTGGCCCTCCTGTGGGATCCGAATCCGGACCCTGCTGCTCAGAGCTGGCGTCCCAAGCCAACTCCTAACCAACGCGCCACTCAGCTGGCCCTCAGTGCAATCTTTTAAAACCAGACTTATCCATGGTATCATTAGGTTGCACGTATATTTTTGTGCACATTTTTCCAACTTCTGTAAAAGGTTTTTCTGACTTCATACAATACAGCAACTAATGGCGAGAAGACAGTTATAAGCCAATTCTAAGCTTTTTCTTCTGACTGCATTACCTTAAAATAATCTCACCTCTTGTGTGATAAGTTGTTGAACAACTTTGGTTTTGTGTTTTTGCAGGGCCCTCAATCTTTTTCTTGGTGTAGCAGACTGTAGATTTTGTTTTAAAGAAAGCATCTTCATCTTTTCTAGTATCATCATGCTTGATAGAGGTTCCCATGCCAGTACCTATGTCAATTTCAAAACAGTCAAATGTGTTTATTTGAACTCTGGAACTAAAATAAGAATTAGTTTTTCATTGTTGACTATCATTTTCCTCCTCTTGAAGATCGTGAAAGCATGAAAGAATACTTTCTATATGAAGGTACTTTATTTTATTTATTTTAATTTGGAACTAATTTTAACTTTGAATAAAGAAGAGATTCATTCAGCAAGTTTTTTTAATTATAAGTTGTTGACCCTGCTCTCAAGATATAAATAAATTTGGGTTTAAAACCCAAGTTAAAACACTGAAATAGTGGCATTTATACCGAGTAATTTCATTACTGTGGTATAACACTGTAACTGAATAGTGGAATACAGAAATTCAGTTAGAGTCACTGCATCTGACCCTACTGTACACATCTAAATATTTGCTTCTCTGCCCATACTTTGAGCTTTTCTTCGTGTATTGGTCAAAACTGTCAGGCTTTCTATACCTCTTCTCTGTGTCCATGTGCCTATTCTCCTCTGACCTCCAATATTTTCCTTCTTTCAAAGCTTTATTGTCTACTTTTCATTGTTCTCTATCTGCGTACACATGTCCACAGGTGTTTTTCCTATTTGGGGAAAGAAAAAAAAAAGCTATTAATTTAACTCTACTTGACTGCATTACCAAGGCATACTTCAGTTCATTGCGCTTTGCTTTATTGTGCTTCATAGACCCTGTGTTTTTTAACAAATTGAAGGTAAGACCCTCCACCAGCAAAAAAAGATTACAACTCGCTTTATTGAGAGACTCACTTTATGGTGGTGGTCTGGAACTGAACCCACAATAACTATGAGGTATGCCAGTAGTTTCTCTTCTTCAGTTTTATAAACCACATTTCTATTTAGAGAATTAGCTGCTTTTTCACTTTGCTTTAGTCTTCTATTATCTGGCTTTAGCCCCTGTCTTTTGATTGAAATTCTATTTTTGAAGGATACCAGTAACCCACGTAGTCCAGGGTGTTTTTTCAGTTCTCATTTGACACTGTTGACTTCTCTTTTGATGAGTCCTAACCTATCTTGGCTGCACGAACTTGGGAAAATTATTTAATGCTATTGGTCCTCAGTTTCTCTTGTGTTAAGTTGGAATAACAGCTCTTAGGGTTTTTGAGTATCAAACTATATGAAAATACCTGGCATCTATATAGTTAGTAGCTCAGTGAATGGTGATAGGGATCTTGACCATCTGTGATTTTCTACCTGGCTTTGTAAATATCTAAGACAATTTTTGTTTTTTCTTTTTTCCTCCTCCACCCCTTTCTCTAAATATAGACACTCCCTAAGGCTCATTTTTTCAATTCAATCTCTGCCTTTTCCCTTGGAAATGCTGTCTACTCGCAAAGCTCTAGCTAATACATTTAGGCTGCCAGAAACCAGATATATACCTTGAGGCTGTGCTGGCCTAAACTCAGGTGTCCTGTTTGTGTGACTTCTTGGAAACCGTCATTTGAAAAGCTTTTTATCACCTCAAGTTGAACATGTCTGAAACAAACCCCTTATTTTTATTCCTCTTTCCCATACTCCCTTGTAGAAATACTAATATTTCTCTTAGTCAACCAGGCAGAAAACCTTACCATCATCTTTGACTGCCCCCCTCACCCCTTTTTAAGGTTCTATTGATTTTCCTTTCTATCATGAACAGAATTTTTTCCTTCTCTATGTTGTCTTCAAAATTGGTCTTGTGCAGCTGACCTCCTAAATAATTGATCCAGTGGCTGGTAATCCTCTACTTTTTATCCAGATCTATTAGTCACCACAGTGCCTTAATTATGCTTGTGCCTTCTCAAAAACTTTTAAGGGCTTCTTGCTTGTCTCTGAGCTGGTCCATAAACATACAGGATTTTTTTAAGATAAATGGGCCCCATTTATCTTATGTTACACCAACCATTCTTCTGATGGCTTATTCCTTATTCTCAGAACATGCCAATATTCTTTCAAATTGTCAGTCCATGGAAGGAGGTACATGCGTGTATCGTATCCAAATGCATTTTCAAGTTAGCCATTGCATGAGTCACCAGTACTGAATCCCACTGAGACTTTGAAGGAGCCTTAAGAAATGAACCTCAGAATCGACTTCCCCATTGGTCAAAGGTTGACCCAGTTAGTTCCTCTATACTTCTGGGTAATGAATGAGTACGTGCAGAGCACTACTTTCCCATTGGACCTGCCTGAAGCCATTTACAGCCACAGGGAATTGGTCCTTCATAGCTGGAGTAAGATTGGGCTGAGATTTTTGAAGTGGTACACAAGTATCTAATCATGTGCATGATAAAAATTCCAAAAGGTACAGAAGAATGTAGAATGAAAAGTATGTTTCTTCCTTCTCCTGTATTCTATTTCAGAGGTTAGCAAACTGTAGTTTACTACTGACTGACTTTTTTTAAATGAAGTTTTATTGGAACAGAGTCATGCCCATTCATTTAAATATTAGCCTACAGCTGATAGCAAGCTACAGCATCAGAGCTGGGTCCATTGCCACAGAGACTTTATGGCCGTTGAGGTTTAATATTTGACCCTTTAAGAAAAGTTTGCTGATCCTTATTCTAGTCATCCTGGTTCCTTCCCTGGAAGCGTTCACCCAAAGTCAAAATGACCATGAAAGTGTTTTGAATCTATTCAGAACATCGAGGCAGCCACAACAGCACAACTAAAGACACTCATGAAAGAGGACTTCCAGAACTGCTTCAGAAAGTGGCAAGATTGATGGGATAAGATTGTTCAAAGCGAGAGGGAGTATTTTGAGGGGGATTAATGGCACTGTGTCTTTTACTGAAATATATATATTTTTTAATTTAAACACTCACTGTATTTTTTATCATACCTCATATTTTCTAAAATGTTTCTCCAAATTTTTGCTCAGAGGTCTAGGCTGAGTAGTTCTTAAATTTTTCTTGTCTTTACTGTGGAATTTGGGAGTCAAGTTTATGTCACGTGTTAAGGAATGATAGGCACATTAAGAATTTAGGATTTTATTCTTATCTCTAACATCTCTGACTGGGGCCTTTGTAAATAAAAGTAATTCTATTTTTTACCCTGTCAAAAGTCACATATGTTCTTGGGTTTCTTTTTATTTTTTATGTCTTAGACTTCTAGAGATTCATAGGCTTTAGAAATTACAGATAGGCTATTAGGCAAAGAGACCTTTAGAAGTGATTTATGTAGTCCAGGGCCTCTCAACCTGGGAACTATTGATATTTTGGATTAGATAATTCTTTGTTGGGGTTGGGGGTGGGCTAGCATGTCATTATGTCCTGTCCATAGCAGTATCTCTGGGCTCTACCCACTAGATGCCAGTAGTTTCTCATTAGTTGTGACAGTCAAAAATGTTTCGGCATTGCCACAAGTCCCCTGGAAGACAAAATCCCTCTGGTTGGGGACCACTGATAAAGTGCCTTTCCTGTACGTGGTGTTTCCCTTCCCTAGAAATCTGAAGTTGAGGGAACTTGCCACCTTCTCTAGCAGTCCATCTCATCTTCAGGTGGCTCTCTTGGGGTAGAAATCATTTCTCTGTGTTAAGTTAAAATATGCCAACTTTTTAGTTCTACCTCAGGACTGTACAGATTGACATACAGATTTTCTCAATTATGGGAACATAGGCAACCAGTCCTTCCTGGTCCCTTACATGATTGTTTTAGAGTCTGAGTTAGCAAACTTTTTGGTAATGGGCCAGATAATGAATATTTTAGGTTTGGCCACATATCTGCAGGCTACTTATAGTCTCTGTTGCATAATTTTCCTTTCCTTCTTCCCTCCCCCTTTTTTTTTCCCTTTTTTTGCAATCCCTTAAAAATGTAGAAAATATTCTTAGCTGGACTTGGCCCCAGCAGTAGCTTGCCAAAACCTGTTTTAGAGTCTCTTCGGTCTGATCTTCAGAGGGCAGTGCCTTCTTAAAATGTGGTGCCTCAGAACCAGTACAGAACTTTGGGTAAAGACTGAGCAGCACAGAATGATGGATATGTCACTAACTCTAAAATGCTTAAGGTGGTGGTTGCCCTTTTGGAGCACTGTCACATTTTCGACTTAAAATGATCTTAATGCCAACCAAAACTCTGGTTTGCCTTTTTTATTAGGCCATACTATTGCCTGGGATGGTTTTGGTGATCATCCATATATCCATCTACATTAGACCTCATCTTAGCTAGAGCCGACTCTCGCTCCAGCCTGTTGAGAGCTTACTGCTTCTTACTTTATCCTCTCAAGTGTTGATGAAATTTCTCTCAGCTCCTTGTTACTTGAATGTTTGATAAACACCCCTTGGTCTTCCACCTAAGTTACAAATAAAAATTTGAATGAGACATAGCTCTACTTATAAATCTCAACTCATAAATACTTAGAAAGTAAGGTAATTTTTGTGTATAGATATAGTCGGTCTACACTTCTCATTTATTAAATTGTTTTGTAGAATTGTATTGGGTTGTCGGGAAAGTCATGATGTATTTTGTCTATGTTATTCAAAGGTCATTTATTTATAAAAAGAAGAAAGATCAATCAATGATATATTGCCCGTTTTGTTCGATAACATTTTGCCATCTTTCAGTGAGCTTCATAATTCCTCATTCATAGAAGGACCTGTCTTCATTTGCGAAAAACTGAACAAGGTGCTGATTTACAGCCTCATCTGAGTTGACTGTTATACCACACAAAGAGTTTTGAAGAGAGCAAAACAAGTGGAAGTCTGACAGCGCAAGGTCAGGCGAGTATGGTGGGTGTGGCAACACATCCCATCCAAGCTCCAAAAATTTTTGACAGGTGATCAAACTTGTGTGTGGTCTCGCGTTGTCGCAGTGGAACATAACTCCTTTACAAGTAACAAGCTCTGGACATTTCTGGATGATGGATTCGTTCAAACTGTCCAATTACCAACAGTACACATTCAAATTGACTGTTTGGTTCCTTGGTAGGAGCTCGAAAAAACACGACACCTTTAAAATCCCATCATACTGAGAGCATAAACGTCATCTGATGAATATCTGCTTTCGATGTCATTTGAGGCGAATCATCACATTGGGACCAAGACCGTTTGCGTATCACATTGTTGTAAACAATCCACTTCTCATCACCATTTATTAGTCGCTTCAAAAATGGATTGTTTTCCTCACGTTTAATGAGCATATTGTAGATGTTTATACGCGTCATCAAATGAACTTCTTTGAGTTCGTGCGGAACCCAAATATCGAGCTTGCTTACGTATCCCAGCTTCTTCAGTTGGTTGTGAACACTTGAATGATGGATGTTCAGTGTTTCTGCAATCTCTCGTGTCATGTAACGTGGGTTTGACTCAATCAGTGCCTTTATTTTTGTCGTCATCAACCTCGGTGGGCCTCCCTGACCAAGGAGCATCGTTGAGATCAAAATCAGCAGCACGGAATTTCGTGAACCATCGTTGGCACTGACATTCTTGTAGAGCATTGTCACCGTAAACTTTATGCAACTTTTCACAAGCTTGATGCGCATTCTTCCCTTTATAAAAGTAAAATATGGCAAAAATGCAGTTTGGTCTTCCATCTTAAACTTGTAAAATCTCCAAAACTCAACCAAATCAATTTTTTTTAGAATGAAGCTAGAACTGTCAGCTGTCAAATGACATAGCAATACCATATATGCGAATGACTCTAGTACTTCCAAAAATGAACTAGTGCCATCTGTCGCAAACATGCATCATGACTTTTCCAAGAACCCAATAGTTGGGATCTGCATTGTAACAACCATCAGACGTTTCCATCATTAGTAATGGCTTTTAAAGTCATTAGACAGTAAATAAGTTTAATGAGCATGACAGAAAAACAATTTTAATTCACATACAAAATAAGAATTTTAAATAATGATTTCTTACAAAAAGTTGCTGATATATATGTAATTATTTTTTTTATTTCAGAAAGGACCTTCACCAGCTGCCCCAGTTCATTCCAATGAAGAAGATCCAGCTACCCAAACTAATTTAGGATTTATTCATGCATTTGTTGCTGCCATATCAGTTATCATTGTGTCTGAACTGGGTGATAAGACATTTTTTATTGCAGCCATTATGGCAATGCGCTATAACCGTTTGACAGTGCTGGCTGGTGCTATGCTTGCCTTGGGCCTAATGACGTGCTTATCAGGTGAGTGTGTTTCCCTCCTAATGAGTTCATTGAATTTAGGAGAAAGCATGGTGTTTGGCATTGAGTTCACTGAATTATTCAACCAGTCATGTTGGAATTTGGTTCATGTTCCAAAATTTAGTAAACAGAAAATGGTTAGAGTACATAAATTCCTAAAAACTATATTGCATTTTTAAAATTAAATTTTCAGCTATTCAGTCAAGATACTCATTTATTCACTAGTTTGTAATCCTTGCTTTTGCTGTGTATCCTTGCTTTTTTGTCTTTTCAGTCCAGATAAGCTTATTTGTATGTGATATCTTAGAAGTAGGATTCAAGCAACCACAGAAAATTGCATATTCTCCTGCTGAGGAACATTTGATAATCAATAACTGAGGAGTCACTTTCAGTTTGTGTTGTATTAAGCTGTTCTTACCTCTTAGGTAAAGGAATGAAAGAAACGTTCTTAGATTCCTAATTTGTGTTACTCTTATAGAGGCTTCAATTTTTCAAAGACTTAGACCATGAGAAAGTAAACTTAACCACTACATAATTAAACATAATTTAGTCTTTGATTCAAAAACAACCCTGAACTGCGTAGTTGAGTAGAAATAGTGAGTTCACCCTTAGAGTCTGACTTAGCCATTTATGAGTGTAATGATAAGTTATTTAACCTCTTTGAGCTTCAGGTTCCCCATTTGTAAAATGGAGATAATATCTACCTACCTTGTAGAGTGTCGTGGTCTGTTTTAAAATGAGATCTTAGGGGCGATGGGTTAGCTTAGCTGGTTAGAACGTCGTGCTGATAACACCAAGGTTGCTGGTTCGATTCCCACATGGGCCACTGTGAGCTGCACCCTCCTTGAAAAAAAGTCAACTATGTATGCCATTGTAGCATGAAAGCAATGTGTAACCAATGACCATGGCTGTTCCCCAAGAAAATTAAAAAAAAAAAGATGAGATCTTACATTTCAGGTTCTCAGTCATTTCACCCCTCTTCCCTCACAAGTTCTGTTTCTGGCTGCTTGGATGCTCATTAAAGTTTAAGTCTTTTAAAACATATTTATGAGTATTTTAATGATTAAAATAATTTGACTACTTTTCACATTTTAGAAATTATTAGCACTTTTCATATTTCACAGTAAAAAGAGTTTTATCTTCAAAAGTAAATTTTGATTGTAGGAAATAGGAAAAGTGGAGAGAGTTGTAGATGGTGAAGTCACTTGTTTGGAATGAGTCTGAATATCAGAGATTTTTATTTTTGAAACTTTGAGCTTTGAGGATAACTAGAAGGCTGTCCTCTCTCTGCCCATTCCTGCCTCAGAAGCTGGCTCCATCAGTTCCCCCATCTCTTCTGTGTGTTCATTTCCATTTCCTCAGCTGTAAGTAGGGTGAGTCTCTTCTCTCCTAGTCCTCTGCCCACCTCCCTCTAGCTGCTGGTACTCGGACAGCTCTTCTCACCTGTACTGTTTAAAAGAATAGGTTATGTCTTGGTCTTCAAACCTTTTCCTTTTTGTCTAAGATAATTTTGAAAAACTTACGTACCCCCTGTCACATTGACATTATCTGAAACTGTTCATCTTAAATTGGCAAAGATCAATTTCTGATATATTGTATAAAATAGAACTATTAATGGTATCCTTTTAAAATATACCCAATGGAATCTAAATACCATTAACAACTTGATACCATCACCGTCATTCCTTTAAAAAAGCATGAATAAACTCTTCTTTAACATTTGGAAATTTACTTTGTTCTTTTTTGTCCTTTAATTCTTATTTTCATTTACTTTTCTCATAAAATTTTACTCTTAACAATTTTTTACTTGAAGATCTTTTATGGATCATACTGTCATGTTTATCTGGAGCAAAAGTATTCATATAAAATGAATTTTAAAAGATGCTGAAAATTTTCTTTGAGTCTCTAAACGTTAACATTATTATGGATTGAGTTGTAGTTATTAGTACATTGTTGATCAAAGCACAATATTTTACATATTTAAATAGTTTTCAAAAGTTGGAAATGAGTGTCAATAAGATGACAGGACTAATTTTTAAATTAGTTTATGTTCATGGCCCTCAGTGATAACAGTTTTAATCACCAAATTAAGATTTCTTTTGTATACTCTTTTTCTTCCTTTGCAACTAATACACAATCTTTAGGGCGACACCTTAAACAATGTAAATACCCTACTCCCTGTAGCATCAGTTGATGACTCTTACATGATCTAAATTTTCCCTCACTGCTTACAAAATGGCTTTCTAACTCCATCCGCCTTTATCAGTGAGCTGGACATAGCATTCTAAGAAAGAGCTCTCCATCCTCTGCCATTGGTTTGTCTATTTATTACCCGTATAAACTCATGAATTCCCTTTTTCAGTGGTTTATAATTAATTACCTAACTATACTGTTGCTTAAATTATCCCAGATTTGGCAGCTGGGAGCTCCTCCAAGCTGGCTCCTATGATCTGCTGACATGCTGCCATTTTGTTTGTTTTTCCTTATTTTCTAGTAAAACAAGACAGTGCAGACTCATCTTGCACCTGTTCTGTTAGTCCTGGAATTAGCCATTTTTCTGAAGAGTCTTTTAGTGGGGATGCTATAAGAAACCAAGACCAGGTACAAAACTGGCTCACTGCTACTGAGATGTCTGCTTCTTGGCCTTTTTAGTGGACAGAGCTAGAAAATACATGTCTGTATTGTGTGTGTGTGTGTGTGTGTGTACATGTACACATACATATACATATGTAATGCAAATATAGATGTGCACATAAGTATAGATTTGGTACATTTCTAAACATGATTTAAAATTTTTTTCAACTTTGTAATATAATTGAATAAGGAATAGTTTACCTATGCAGTTATACACTTGATGTTCAGGCAGATTTGTAAATGTTGCACCCATTTTATAAAAAGAGCTGGTGAGGGGCCGGCAGAGTAGCTCGGTTGGTTAAGAGCTCGCTCAAGAGTGCGAGCTCTTGCAGCGGGCTCCCGTAAGCTACCGTGAGCGGCAGGCAGCCGGTGTGAGCTGCCAAGAGCTGCCGTGAGCGGCTGTCCAGTGACCAGTGACCGATCTGCCTCATCCAGGAAGAACGCAATGATAATACCAACATGGGCCAGTGAAGCAACGTCCTCCACAACTAGGCTGAAAAACAAAAGGACAGCAACTTGTCTGTTCCCCTTCCCCAATTCCCCAGTGCTGTTTCCCCTCCCCCCCAATTCCCCAATAAAAAATCTAAAACAAACAAACAAAAAAAACAAAACAAGAGTGCCAGCTCTGAGCAACAGCAGTTCGATGCCCGGCCTGAGCTGAGCTGCCAACAGGTGGCAGGATGGCTCAGCTAAAAAAAACCAAACTGGTGAAATAAAGAATAATTGCATTTATTATATATATGGAAATACCTTCTGGCCCTTCCATAGTTTTTAAATTTTAATTACTGAACTGATATTAATAATGTGTTTCACAGTTAAGATTTGGGTTCTTGGTGTAGTTCCAAGTACAAGTTTTTGTATAACTTCTACAGCTATTCTCTTAACAATAGGAAAGAACGGTACTAAGTTTGTTTGTTGTAAATGTTATTTCAATATATGTATAAGGAGTTAGTTTTCTTTCATGTTTAAATAGTTACAAAGGAGCAGAGTTTGAGTCATGCCATATGAAAATCTTATGACTCATTATAGAAATTTGTAATTTAAAGATTTGTGATGAAGAAATATCACTTATATGGGACGGTGGTGTAGCTCCTAGGTTATAAGTCCTCAGGATCCTTAGAGGACATCAAAGTGACCTATGCCCTGCACAACATGCAGCAAGCCAGCTCCTGGCTGACTGTGTCTGTAGAGGAGGTCCCTGTGGGACACATGCTGTCTTCAGCTGGCCCTTGATTTCTTGATAAGCCATGTTAGGTCATTGGCCAGAACTAAGGGTTCAATATCAGCGAAGGGAAAGAAGTGGAATTATTTAAGGCTATTACATATTAGATTACCTTCTAATGTGAATCATTTTTCCTTGAAAACAGTGGTAAAGTATGATTTCTGAAGGTAGCCATTCCTTTGTTTGGCTGTGGTACATGCTAATTCACCAGATTTACTGTTGTATTTTCTTCCAGTTTTGTTTGGTTATGCCACCACAGTCATCCCCAGGGTATATACATACTATGTGTCCACTGCATTATTTGCCATTTTTGGCATTAGAATGCTTCGGGAAGGCTTAAAGATGAGTCCAGATGAAGGTCAAGAGGAACTGGAAGAAGTTCAAGCAGAATTAAAGAAAAAAGATGAAGAAGTAAGTCGCAGCACTGTTAAATATATCTGGACCAAAAAGGCACTCGACTAAGAATAAACACTGCAGACGTTTTCAGTGGTCATCCATAGCTGTGCAATATGTGTGGGCTACAAAAAATAGTTGGTTTTTCATAGTTTCCATCACACCTGGCTGGACTCTGGGTAGTGCGAGCTGGTAGAGAGGACGTGGGGATGAATCCTGAACACGCATAACCAGGTTCCTTCCTTAGATTGATTATAAGCTTCTGAATAGCCGGGACTGTACTTATAATTTTATATGTTTCCTCCCTTAGTATCAGTAAATAGTGATCAAAAAATACTGATCAAAAAAAGTGATCAGTAAATATTGTTTGATTGTGTTGAGAGGATTAGAAGAATTGAGAAAAAGCATTTGTTGTTATGAGGCCAGTGGTTCAAAAGAAGTTTGGGGTCACATAACTTTAGTTTCTTAGAGCATAGTCCATAGAATTTAAACACTTTTTAAAAAGAAAGATTATTTTGTGTGATTTTGTTTGCTTCCTGGGGTTAATATCTTTTTTTTTTTTTAATTTAGTTTCAACGAACCAAACTCTTAAATGGACCAGATGTTGAAACGGGTACAAGCACAACGATACCTCAGAAAAAGTGGCTGCATTTTATTTCACCTATCTTTGTTCAAGCTCTTACATTAACATTCTTAGCAGAGTGGGGTGATCGCTCTCAACTAACTACGATTGTTTTGGCAGCTAGAGAGGTGAGTGGATTTGAGAGATGACTGCTTCGGTATTAAAACTGAGCAGGACTAATGTTACTTCGCTCCAAAGGGCACTGGACAAAGTCAAGGTGGGCCAGGGGATTATTTCATATGCTAGACTATTTGTTTTAGAGCTAGTAATACTGCTGCTCATTAAAACCAAACTTCTCCCAGTTTCTGCAGTCAGATGGTGCATGTATTCTTGTGTGGAAACTTAATTATTCTCTTTTGACTTATCTTGCTGACTCCTCTTCCCTTCAGTTTTACCGAAATGATGCTGTGGCAGTTGGCTTCGCTTGATTACTTTCTTTTCTCAGAACTTTCCTTTGTATACTTGTTGAGAATATAAATTGATATAATGTTATTGAAGGCCAATTTGGTATTAAATATCTTAAAGTGGATATCTTTGGGTTCTTCCAGTCCTTGTGTTAAAGAAATAGTGTTGCAAAGGTGACTTAGAAAATTTGTTAAGTCCTAGCCCCAGAATACTAAGTCCTAGGATGGGAAGCCAGAAGAGACCTCAGATCATCTTGTTCTAACCGTTGCTCTACTGATAAAGAACCTGAGGCCCAGAGAGATAGGGTGACTTATCTGAGGACATAAGCCAGTGGGTAGCAGGGACCAGGATCATAGCCAAGGCTATCTGCCTTCTAGCCGTTTCTACTACTTCTTGTTCATAGTTGTTAAATGCCACATACTTAAAGGGTACCCGTTTTTTAAAACTTTTTAATCTTTTTTTGAGGGTAATATTAAAGTTTACATGAGTATTAATGTTCACAGAGATTTATTAAGCTTTACTGAGGAGATGGTTGTGGAATTTTCAGAATGCTGCTGTTACTTTTCAGGCTTTTCTTGATCTTAACTAATATTATTTATCTGTTAAATTACATTGGTTTGATGAATGGTAGGATTTAGGTAACAAGCTTGATTTCAATTTATTTTTAACTCCTAGGAAGTATCTATCATAAAAGAACAAATTCCTTAACATAGTATACTGCAGTTTAAAACAAGATTGAAGGCCAGGACTAATATAATTAGGGCAGGGCTGTCAGAGAAGCCTCAAAAATGCTTTCTTTTTGATAAAAAATAAAAACTTGTTTTTCATTTGATTCCCATATTTTAAAACAAACTTTCTTTTAAAATGTTTTCAATGGCCCTATCATCTTGAGTCCTAGCCTTTTTTATTAGCTTTCCGATCGCCAGAATTAGGGCTTGAAAGCAAGGGTCACTTGGTAGCGGTGGTTCTGCTCTGGTGAGCAGTCACGATGGCAGAATCATTGCCTTTCTCTTACTACTGCCGCCTGAATGGTGCAGTGACTTGTGACGCTCAGGATTCCGCCTGTGAGAGTTACCTTGGTCTAGCAGTGTGGCACATGCTGACTGGGTATGAGCCTCGCTGTGTTGTGTGGTCATGTGACTGCAGCACCTCCCTGAAACCTACTTGGAGGATTGATCTCTGAAACAAGATAGTGCGTGCAGGGTCCTGACACAGTGAGCGTTGTTAGCTGACCCCCACACCACCAGCACTAGGAGCGAGTGTTAACGAGCTCTTAACGGCAGAGGTACGGTTCTCTCCTTTTTGCTCCCTTAACATTTCTGGGTTTTGGTAATTTTTTGTATAAACCATGTAGTAGTCTAGTTCACTCCATTTTAGTCTGAACTTCATTTCTGCTTCCAATATAAAAAAAAAAGTTGAGGGAGGAGATTCCAGGGTCATAGAAACTTGGCAAATAATATATCTTGGCTTTTTCTTTTATTAAAACGTATTGGGGTGACAACGGTTAGTAAAATTACATAGGTTTCAGGTGTACAATTCTATAATACATCATCTATATATCACATTGCGTGTTCACCACCCAGAGTCAGTTCTCCTACCATCACCATATATTTGACTGTTTACTCTTTTCTACTGTCCCCCTCCCCGCTTACCTTCGGGTAACCAATAAACTATTGTCTGTGTCTATGAGTTTTTGTTTGTCTTGTTCCTTTCAGTTTTATATCCCACATATCAGTGAAGTCTCAACTTTTTCTTACTTCACTTAGTATAATAATCTCAAGATCCATCCATGTTGTCACAATGGCACTATTTCATCTTTTTTTATGGCAGAATAGTATTCTATTGTGTATGTATACCACATCTTTATCCAATCATCTATTGAAGAACACTTGGGTTGTTTCCATGTCTTGGCCACCGTAAATAAACCTGCAGTGAACATCAGAGCACATATATCTTTACAGATAAATGTTTTCAGAGTTTTTGGATATATACCCAGGAGAGGGATTGCTGGGTCATATGGTAATTCTATTAATTTTTTTGAGGAACCTCCATGCTGCCTTTCATAGCAGCTGCACCAATCTGCATTCCCACCAACAGTATATGAGGGTTCCCTTTTCTCCACAGCCTCTCCAACATGTTATTGTCTTGTTGATAATAGCCATTCTAACAGGTATGAGGTGATATCTCATTGTGGTTTTGACTTGCATTTCTGTGATGATTAGTTGAGCATCTTTTCATATGTCTAATGGCCATCAGTATGTCCTCTTTGGAGAAATGTGACTCAGGTCCTCTGCCCATTTTTTAATTGGATTGTTTTTTGTTGTTGTTGAGTTGTATGAGTTCCTTACATATTTCGGATATTAGCCCCTTATCAGAGGCATTGTTTGCAAATATATTCTCCCATTTGGTTGGATGCCTCTTTATTTTCTCGGATGGTTTCTTTTGCCGTGAAGAAGCTTTTTAGTTTGATATAGTCCCATTCATTTATTTTAGCTTTCACTTTCCTTGCCTTTGAGGTCAAATTCATAAAATCCTCTGTGAACTCAAGGTCTGTAAGTTTAGTACCTATGTTTTCATCTATGCAGTTTATTGTTTCAGGTCTTACGTTTAGATCTTTGATGCATTTTGAGTTAATTTTGGTGTATGGTGACAGATGGCAGTCTTAGTTTCATTCTTTTTCAATTTTCCCAGCACCATTTACTGAAGAGGCTGTTTTTTCTCCATTGTGTGTTTTTGGCTCCTTTGTTGAAAATTATCTGTCCATATTTATGTGGGTTTATTTCTGGGTTTTCAATTCTATTCCATTGGACTGTGTGTCTTTTTTTCTGCCAATACCATGCTGTTTTGATTATTGTTGCCCTGCGGTACAAGCTTGAAGTCAGGGAGTGTGACACCTACAGGCATGTTCTTTTTTCTTAGGATTGCATTGGCTATTCGGGGTCTTTTGTGGTTCCATACAAATCTGATGATTTTTTGTTCTATTTCTTTAAAAAATGCTATTGGGATTTTGATTGGAAGAATCAACATAGTTAAAATGGCCATATTACCCAAAGCAATATACAGATTTAACGCAATCGCCATCATATCCTGGTTTTTGTTTTTGACGATTTGAGTATACAAAATAACAAAGACTGAAAAATCCTGTATTAAGGGAACTATTTTATTTAATCCAGTGATTTTTTTCAGGTATCACTTTCAAGTAGAATGAAACCATCTTCTGGGTTACCAGTTTTAGAAGTTGTATGATACACCAACAATTGGGGACATGTAGTCCCACTCTTCTGTTCTTTACAGATATTTCAAACAGTCTCCATTTCCCCAGTCCCTGCACACACACTGCCTGCCCTTCAGCAAACAGCCTTACCTTCTACTTCAGAGAGCAGCAGCCCATTCTGCTTCATTCCCACCGATCGCAGTGACAGCCCTTTCCCTCCTATATTCTGGATCCCAGCCCCTAGGCCCCCACTTACAACTTAAACATTTGCCTTTCTGCCGCCCAATTTTGTGAACATTTTAGTATGAACAAGTTTTTCTCATCTCAAAAAGTTTTACCCGTTTCTCAGTTCTACATCTCTTCCAAATACCACCCTCTTCCTCCCTTCTCCTCAGACGGATTGACTGTTACGGGAACGGGTTGGCTCTGCTTCCTTGCTTACTAATCCCACTGGGCTTGTTTCTGACCTCACTGGTAATGATGCAATGCTTTGAATTCACTGCAGCCATCAACAGTTCCTGCTGTGGTCGGTCACCTTGGGAGGCTAACTTCCTGGATGCCTTTTCGGTCTCCTTCGAGCGCCTCTTCCTCCGTCATCCCTTCAGTGTTGCTTTCCTCATGATGATTGCGTTAACATCCTCGCCCCACATTCTCTCCCAGGGTTATTATATTCAACCTCATCGCTTATTCACCACTGAACTCAACTGACTTGAATTTCTCCACTTTTAACTCTTGTTAACCATAAAGCCTTTCTCCATCGCTCCCCCTACCTTTTAATCACATTGATATTACCATAATTTATCCAGAGAAATATGGGTGAGAAACTTTCCTAACACCTATCATTCACTTATCACTAGGTATATCAAGTATGCCTCCTTAATTACTCTAACGCATCTGCCTTTTCTGCCCATAGTCTCCCAACCCAGTCTAGACCGACTGTAATAGCCTCCCAGTTTATCACCTTGCCTTCAGTCTTGTTCCCCTGCAGTTTATTCTCTAGACTTTTAAAGCATAAATCTGTTCTGTCACTCCCCAGCTCAAAACCAACCAGTGTCTGAAAGTCTAAGCTTAGAGAAACCTCAATGACCTGGCCCCTCCAACCTTGATGGACTCTTTCTTGTGACTCATGGTTCTCTCTAGAAATGCTGAAGGACTCTGCAGTTGTCCCTTACTCCTGGCCTGCTGCCATTTACTAGCATGTTCCCACCTCCACAAAACAGTCAGCGCCTTCTCTGCTCATTCTTGAGTGCGGTCTTTTCGGGAAAACTTTTACTGGCCTTACCAATCTGTGCCCAGTTCTCTCTGGTGGCAAGTGTCTACTGAATGAATGCTGTTTCTGGTGCCGAGCTCCAGCAGTGAGGGCGCTGTAGAGATTAAGGGAGGCAGGGTCTCTGTTCTTGGGAAGCAGCCAGTCTGGAAAGGCTGCCTTAGTTTCCTCACCATACCAAACACTGCCCTAAGGGAAGAGATGTCCAGGTTAAGTGTCCCTACTAGTAGTTGTCACTTAGGATTACTTTGACCGTACACATTGACTTTTTTCTATTTTTATCTCTAGTCCTAGGTATAATGGAACATATTCCTTCAAGCAGCTATTACTGTTCATAAATATACATCTTAATTTTTCTGTTTTAAGTTTTGTTGTTGTTGACTTGTTTTCACTGCTTAATAGTTATCTTTCTTAGGTACCAGTTCCAACCCTGGCTTTGAATTAATAGTTATATTTGTTTCCAGGACCCCTATGGTGTAGCAGTGGGCGGAACAGTGGGCCACTCTCTGTGCACTGGATTGGCTGTAATTGGAGGAAGAATGATAGCACAAAAAATCTCTGTTAGAACTGGTAGGTTTTTTTCTTCTTTTCAATTACAGAGAAAATACCATTTGTTTTAACTCTTAGAATCATTGAGAGAGATCAGAAAGGGGCACTATGTCTTAATTCTTTAAATTTTTACTTTTGAAGTAGACTTGGTCTTTGTAATGATAATCTCCTAGAGGTTCACTGTGTTGCCCCTGCTATTACAAACATGGTCTGTGTAGATGTAAAATACAAATTCATCCACGAGCATTACTGGATTCACGGTAGCTTTGAAGAAATTGATTCTCACTGTTCAGAGTCAGGCATGTTAAATGTTCTTTGCTGAGGAAATGGGGTTTAAGTGTTTCTAATTTGTTTTTAAAATTAGTTTACTAAATTAGAAGAATGAACAGCATCTTGGCTCCATAGAAGAATTTTGCCTTAAACTTTTTCTCTTCTTTTACAGTGACAATCATAGGAGGCATTGTATTTCTGGCGTTTGCAGTTTCTGCACTATTTATAAGTCCTGAATCTGGTTTTTAACAAGCTATTTTCATTTATATTTAGTTTAAGATAGGTAACTCTTGTGTTTATGTACATAGTATACATTATAACTAAAAGTGAAAGAAAATACTGTATTTTGTAGCAATGAGTTATTATGTGCAAAAGAAATAATCATTGATTCTATTTGAAACATGGATTTTTAAAAGAAACCTGATGTTTAAGTGTGGATTTTTCTTTTCTCCAGCATAATTATGTTAATATGGTCTGTTTTCTGAGGGCTGTCTTGGCTTTTTTTGGGAGGGTGGTGGGGGTATATACAGAACCACTGTGCAGTGGCGTCTACCATTTGATTTTCTTTCAGCACTGACCCCTTTATAAGGAATATACATCCCCCCCCCCCATCACTGAGGCATTTTAAGATGTTTATCTTAAAATTTCCCCCCCGGGGGGGGGGCAGGGGAGAAAGAATTTTCTATCTTTTAAAGCATTTCCCTGAGCCAGTGAGCAATAGTTTAATCCTAAATCTTTTCTTAATTAGGTTCTTTATTACAGTCAGCTCTCTGTATCCATGGGTTCAGCATCCACGGATTCAACCAACCACAAAAACATTTGAAAAAAATGTTACATTGTTGCTGATGTATACTAGGTAGTTAGGCCTACAATGGATGGTTGTGTCTGTACTGAACATGTACAGACTTATTCTTGTCATTATTCCCTAACTACAATATAACAGCTATTTACCCAACATTTACATTGTATTAGGTATTATAATCTAGGAATGATTTAAAGTATATGGGAGGATGTGTGTAGGCTATGAAAACACTACACCATTTTATATAAGAGACTTGAGCATCCGTGGGGGCGGGGAGGGGGGAAGTCATGGAAATGAGGGATGACTACTGTTATATCAATAATATGAGAATTGTTTGCCAGGTCCATTCTTCCTTTTTTTAAAATTGGGTAGGTAACCCAATATAAAAACAGTCAATATTTGACAATGTGGAATTACCAAATTAAAAGAGAATACTATGAGTGTATTCTTATTTTTTCTATTTTGAATAAACAATGTAACATAGATACAATGTAAATAAAAGTGGTATGACCAGTGCCTGTTGTCCCTTTTGTGTTATACAAGTTCATAATTTTCTAATTTATCAAAGTAGTAGGGATATTTATAGACCAGTTTCTAAAGTTGATGTAAAAAACAGGAGCCAAGCATTGTTCTAAAACACTGTCTTATTAACCCTCACAGTTCTATGAGGTAGCAGGTACTGATAGGTTACACGATAGAGCAGGGAGTCAAACCATACAATTTAATTCTACAGCCTATAACCATTGATTATGTAAGGGTACCTCATTTTATCATAGCACCTTTAGTAATCACTGTCATTTAAGTTTACTCTAACTTGACTACTATACTAACTATATTCCATGCAAGCAGCATAACTGCTTTCTCTTAGCTTGGTAAGTGCTATTACCATGTGCAATAACATTGCCATCAATAGTCTCTTTCAACCCAAAGTCAGTTCTTTAGAAATTCCTGTATGTTCCTTGTATGAAGTATGTAATAGTAGACCCAGAGCAATTCAGGTTTACTGAGCTACTGTCAAAGTCCACAATTTATAGTAAATTTGTAGTTTGAAGAAATGAAAGAACATAATCTTTCATAATAACCCAGCATTGTCAATACAGCAAACCATTCTGCAGTAGTAAATGGGAATGACAGCTAACACCACAACTGAGGAGATCTAAAGGTAGCTTGGTCAGTTAAAAAGCAGTAGCACATACTGATGAAAAAGTCATGTTTGGAAACTTGATGGTAGTTGGAGAACTCCTTTAAAGTGTATATTATATTGGGGTGGCTGGTTAGCTCAGTTGATTAGAGCGCAGTGCTCGTAACACCAAGGTTACCAGTTCAATCCCTGCATGAGCCACTGAGCTGCATGCTCCACAACTAGATTGAAACAACTACTCAACTTGGAGCTGATGGGTCCTGGAAAACCACAGTTCCCCAATAAAACAAAATTAAAAAAAAAAAAGTATATTACAGGGCAGAAAAAGTGTCCATGAATTAAAAAAAAAGTACTTCGAAGAAATTTCAGGTTAAGTCCCAAGACTACACCATCCTTCTCTGTAGTTAGATACCCCTAATACTGCCTTAGATTATAAACAGAAAAGTGGGGAATTACATTATTTCTTTTCCAAGAACAGAAAGGATAATTCCTTGTTAGAAAGTAGCTGGTACCATCATAGCCCAAACTTGGCAATGCAGGCAGCCTGGTCCTAGTAGTAGCTTAATATGTGAATAACAGCATAGCTTTGAGGCACCAAAATCTTGTAACAGGACATAACTACTCAGAATTTGGTAGCTCATACCTAAACTACAAGTTAAAAATCACTCCGTTAAGACTCCATTGCTGGGGACAAAAAAAAAAAAAGGAAAATTTCATTGGTAGTGATTTAAAAATATTTAATAGTCTCTTTAAAATCCAAAATGATGAGATTCTTACAAGTTATGTGCCACATAAAGCAGGTGTTATTTTTTGAGAAATGCAGGTGATACTGAAAAACATAGCACTGAGGTATTTTTTATTTTTGAAATTGAATAAGGAAACAAAGTCTGGATCTAATTTTTACATTTACAAAAAAAACAATGCTACTGCTTGGCTCTTGCTGTAATTTTAGGTTGTGAATACATTATAAGAGTATGGGAAAGAGCATTATAATAGTACATGTAGTTTTAAAAAACGATGCACATCATAACCTGGGAAAATTATCAGATAGCAATATGCCTGAGTGAAGGTAGGCTGATAACACATTTTACCTCTTCTCAAAGGATAGCTTTGATAAACAAGTGTAACCAATTGTAACACCAAATTAAAATGGCAATATCAGTAACAAAATGATCCCCATTTTATACAATATTATATTTCTACACATAGCTCATGAAAATTGCAGAGAACCTAAAATAGCACCGTTGAAACCATTCATTACCCCTTCGTGCTTATGTGCAATTTAGGATTTGGGCTGAAGACAATACCTGGAAAAACGTTAGTCTCATTTCTGTTAATCAATTTGGATTCCAATTAAATGTTTGCTTTAGGAAAAATACCTCAAGATTAGTTAGCCATTTATAGCTCCACCCTTTTGGAAGTAAGAATGTTAGCCTACATCTAAATTTTATTTAAAACCAAGAACCAAGCAGTAAGGACAGCAATGTAGCACACTAAGAACCATACAGAACATTAGAATTTGGTGTGTTTTTAAGCTACCAACTGATGTTAACAATTAGAAATTTACAAAGATAAAACATTTTTTTTTGCACTAACTGGTTTCAATACAGCACTGAATGTAACTCATCTTTGGGCTTCAATCTTTACATAGAGTGAACGTGCAAGTGCCACAGAGAAGTCCGTCCCCAACGTTTACACGGCAGTAAAACAGATTTCAAACTAATTCTAGAATGGTCTAAATTACAGCTGTTCTAGCTGGCATAGCTACTGAAAAAGAAAGAGGACATTTCCTGGCCTTTTTTTTTGCTTGATGATGATTGTCTAGTTATATAATACATCAATCTGAAGATAATACAGCTTTCCCTACACTTAACACTAGTACTGGCACAACCATTGCCAGCAGTGAATTTGTACCAGTACAGGCCAACTCAAAAACACCTATTATAAAACATTTGAATGTCGTTTTTAAAGCGATGTCACAGTTTGTTTCCTCAGAAATTTAAAAGCATACATTTGAAAACATCACATCTTCAATTTAACCCTCAGAGTTAAGAAACATTTTTTACATTATTAAATCCAACTTGTGGTTGACTTAATTACCATTCTCCAAGGGACCCCAAAAGGTAGACAGTGCGCCCTGTACCTGGCCTGTAGGACTCAGGAGCTACTCTGACAGTCCCAAAGTGGAGAATTCTGTTCCAATGCACACCAGCAAGAAGTATCCTCAAATTTCTAGGCTTCAAATGTTCAAACTGCTTTATTGGGCAGTGCTGTGTGTGGAGGTTTTGTTTTGTTTTAAAAGACCAGGCAGCACTATAGAGACAGCAAAAATTCTTTTGTAGAAGAGTTTGCAGTGTGTATACACTGTTCCACCTATATTTAAAGACTTTCAATGGATTTGAATTCAGATATGATAGCAGTGGCTGTTAGAAGATGCTGATCATTTTACTAACATTTCCCCAAATGGGCAAAACAGGCAACATGTGCCACTGGTTCTGTCATACTGGCCTTTGGCTGTGTTGGGGAATATAAAAAGTACCCCCAAAATAGAAAAGGCAGCAAGTGAAACTAGAAAAAGGTTGGAGCTATCTGAAGCACGTTTGAAAGGAGTTACCTTTAATATTTTTCTTAAAACAAACTGAGAACAGGAGGGAAGCACAGGGGCCTCTGGAGCTCCGCCCTCCGCTGCTGCCCTGAAGCAAACCAGGTTTGGCCTGGCCAGGACAAGCAGTCCTGAGGGCTAGCGGCTGCACCCCCGGTAAGAAGAGCTAGTTCTCCAAGTCAGAGATTACAAGGCAAAACAAAATAAACCACAAATTAAATACATGACACTGTGAAATCACTCCGATGAGAAAACAGAACACAAGGTATTTAAAAATATAAATAAATACATGTAGCCATTTTTATTCAAGAAACCTAGAGAACTGCTTACAAAGCAATTTCTTCTTTAAAACCACTTTCTAAATTCTTCCATAAATACTCACTATTTGATTGTCACTTAATGCAGCACCTCAGTGTTTGCTGGTGGTGGTGATGGAATTTCACTTAATAGTCTCTTCATAAATGATATCCTATTTCATTAAAGAACGTTTCCCTAGGAAAACCCAGGCAGCTTACAAAATATTGTTAAATACTCAAAACAGAACCTGCAAAGTATTATTTTATTTAAGAAAAACAAGGAATGTAGTGTTAAATTATGACATGGGGGAAATATGCAAAACAGTCACATGGAAAGAAAGGTTTAATTTTTAAATATCCACGTTTGTTTAATTTCTTGTGAGCTGTTCAATACTGTTTAAATATCCTGAATTAATAACTATACCAACAAAATTCATCCCCAGTGTTTCCACAGGAGTCATTAAGACCAAATTACACTTTTTTTCTTCAACCAAAGTAGTCTTTCTCAGTCCTTTTTGTGCAAAAATATTACAAGAGCAATTCAAATGGAAACACTGAAATGGCATGCCAACATTTCAGAGCACATTTAAAACACCCAGAATAATTCTTGAAATGATCGTATTCTAAAGTATTACTAACAATCACTTGTAGGTTGGCTTTATACATCTATTCACACTGATGCAATTTTCCTAGACCTCTGAAAATAAACAGGCTCATTGGTCTCTTTTGGTGTCCACACAATAGGCAAGATAGGTTTACAATAGTGTCTATATGAAACTAGCATCTACAATCTCTTGACTCCACCACATTCAAAACAAAAGTCAAAGTTCATTTGGCTACCTTGAAATCACTCCCATAAACCTACTACGGTTCATTGGATCTAAACATTTCTCAGAAATGTGTCATTTTTAAATTTCACCTAAGTGATGATTTGGGGATCCTTTAGAAATGGTAATGCCTATAAGATAATAAACTTTATCAAAATGAATAATTGCAATAAAGTGCTTGTTACATTTCAAAATGATGCTTTTAGACTGTGGTATGTTGTTTGAAAAGTGTGTGCTATTCCTATATAAGGATCCCCAGGCATGAGAGTTGGGTCGTCTCACCTGTCTCAGAAAGCAGCAGCACTAACTTTTGGTAGGCTGACAGTAGGCACATTACCCATGCGGATGAGGCGATACTAGCTATGGCGAAGGGGGTAGGAGATTAGAAAAGTGGAAGGATGTGGGGGGGGAGGGGTCCTACTATATTCATAGTTATATACAAATATATTAAATATGCTATAAAAATAGTCAACTCTTTTCCTCTGCAATTACTTCAGAAGCTCCTTTTAGAAGAATGCTCACCCAATCCAAACAAACTGAAAAGGTTCTTTCTCCAATCACTATTAAAATGGCAAGTGCCTTTGTGCTGTTTCTTTTCCATCATCTAAAAATTCCAATCAGCTTACTCCTGGCTAGACTCACTCAGCAATAGTAATATCCAGTGTTTACATCTTCCAACATGACTCCTGAGGGACTATGAACAGGGTCACAGATATTGGAAAGGTTATAGACTTGAATGAGTTTTACACAAATGTTCATCAACAAACTTCCAATCACCAAAGAAATACAGAAAAAGAAAAAAAGTAGAAATGAACAATACTAGAGTAAAATGCTATTTGCATTCATTCCACTTTTTAAAAGTTCATCTCAATGTAGTGGAAACATTTTAAAACACGCTGAGTAATATCCAGTTTAAAATAACACCTGTCTGTAGGACCCCTAGCTAAGGCTTCCCGAATGAACAAGGTTCATTTCCCTTCTGCACACGACGCCCTTCTGGAGCTGCCCTGCTCCAGGGCCCTTAATTTTAACTGCGCAGACTGCTTTAAGGCAACAACTGACACCACAGCACTTCCCAAGAACCCAAATAACATTCACACTGTTCCACACTGAGTAATCTATAACAAACCCTTCAAAGTCACTAGTACATTCCCTCACCAGTTTTAAGTAACAAAGCAGAGCACAGGACTCAAATTACCCCCTCAACTTAGGGCAGAGTTTGGAGGCTGAATTGTAGTATCTACTTTTATGCTACCCCCGTCCCTGATGTCTGCTTTTCCCACGAATATTTTCCTCTCAAAAAATGGAGTACTTTTGAGTGTCTAGGTTCCACTCCCAGCAGCAACTTTATCAGTTCTTGTAGTCCTCACCTGTAGTTGGTAAAACAATACTGACTCCTGCAGTGCCTGCCACAGCAGTCCAAAGCATGATAACTGCAGAACAGCTAACAGCTTTCCTTATTATCTTCAACAATTTCTTACCTAGAAAGTGCACCCAGAATAAAATGTTTTGTTTTTTTAAGAAAAACTGACTGAGAGTAAAGCAGAGGGAAGATATGATTTTTAAGTAGCTGAAAGGTGTTCTATTTGGCGTTTTTTCATGACTTAGATTTAGAATCTTAATTAACAACTTTGGCTACAGAAATGAAGGAAGAACAGGCAACTGCTGAATCTTCATCAGAATGCTCAAATCTCCATGGGGGAGGGGGCAGGGACCGCTCTGCAATCCAAGTTGAAGAGAATCAGGAGGAAAACAAAGTTAGAGGAGCTAAGAGGCAGTTGGTGCTTACCACCTCTTCCAACACAACACTACATCCTGACAGCAAAGGAAAAGCAGCTAGCTGCTCCTTTATATTTAGCCATCAATTCTAAGCAGAAAAAAAAAAAAAATGAGCTGTGAGAAACAACAGGAAATATAAATGCAAAATTTTGTCTAATTTTCTTTCCCATTTACTTTGTGGCTTGTCTTAGGCTTTGTTTTCGTTAACGTTAAGTACACAGTACTCACAATCCACCATCTTTCTTTTAAGCATGGTACTTAGAGGATAAACCTTAATAGTTCTTCATATCTTTTATTAGCTAAATCCGTATCACTAGATAGATATCACTAATAAATGAATGAGGCACAACTCAGATACATATGGAATGGCATGATAAGGTTAAGAAAGGCCATTTGAAAGGGGAGAAAGTACTGTTGCCATATTCTACAACATCAATTTTGTCTATGAGTATGTGTGCCCAAGTACACACATATTCTGACAACTACCCTTGACATTCAGGAGAAAGTCAGAAATCTATTCTGGATGATCATTTAGCTAGAAGAGGAGCTCCTTGATATGTTAATTATTGATTGGTATCTAGTGACACTTCTTTTATAGAAGGGTAGATACCCACTTTCTTTGGTTGTTTTCATTTTCAACATGAATTTTCTAATTTAAGTGTGGCCAGGTGTAGTTTTCTACGGAAAGACAAAATATGTCCCTTAAGTGTGATAGCAAAGCTGAGAACAGAAAAGTTTTAAGAACTGACTTAAGAGTTCCTCTGACTCCTTTATCTAGCAATTCTCTACTATGTTATTTTCATTGCTCAAAACCTTTTCTGTTTAACAACCTCAATTCTGTTATAAACTTTAAGGTCAATTTTGATTTATTTCAGCTTGCTGTCTTCCCTTTTCTCAGTAATAATTTTTGATATTCTAATAAGATATTTTCCATTGCTCTATAGTTGTAAATTTAATTATTAGTACCATAAAATATATAAAATGCTTTTTATGAATACAATTTGTTGGAATTTATTACCTTTTAAGAATATGATATTGCCAAATGAAATCTTAGTTCATGTTTAGAAAGCATGTGAGTTACAATGCTCTAGCGTAGTGAAGGCAAAGCCAAGTCCCACTCCTTTTTCCTCTGTAGGATATCGAGATCATATTGAGCAAATATTTACTAGTAATTCTTAAATGGCTACTTAGCTTTAAAGGAAGATGCTCGTTCAGGAAAACAATTTTGTGATCACATTCATGACTCTAATAGTGTTAGGATGTCATCTTTTTATTTCTAAATTATTTATACTTCCAGCCCAAGAGACTCAAAGCAGTCTTCATAGGAACTTAGGAGAATAATAATGGCACTGACACCCACATGCTATTAAAAATGCACTAAGGTTTCAAAACTGCTACTGAGACCAGACAATGAGTTCAAGATGGTGAGTTATCACCTGAATCAAAATCAAGGCACTATGGGTTTTTTTTCCCCCTCAAATAACCCTGAATCATTTCTGACTAAAAGAAGCATTGAAATTGTGAAGGATAATAAAAAGATTCCAACAAATCCTAAAAGTTAAAATTCCCACCAGTGAGAATGTTAAAAAGTGCCTAAAATGTTTTGTGTGCAAATTTTACTCCTAAAACTGAAACATTCTTGAAATTACTTTCAGGCTTGTTGAAAACCATTTACACAACTATTTCCATCTATGAACTATATCAAAATATGTGATCAACCTTCTAAATAAAGCAGTGCAAATCCTATTTTCAAACATAACTGAAAAACAATGAAATGAGGGATATTTCTGAGTAACTTGAAAATCCTGTTATTTCAATAATTTAACCTGAAAAAAAAATCTATTCCCAGCAGCACATCATACCTCACTGAACAAACTGTGACATCACAGCCAAGTATGAACAAGACTTGTGCTCCGGGAAAGTGAATAGAACACTATCGTGTTGTAAACAAAAGGGAAAACAAAGGATGTATTAGTTTGCACATGGTATCAGGATCTAAGGAAATGTATTCATACCTATGAGGAGGAGATAATGCTTTCATGCAGCATACAGAATGTTTTGCTTTCTTTCCTTTTATCCAGACATATACATAATATTTTTACAGCATCTGTACATAGAGAATTTGAACCCACACAACATTCTGAAATTGATTACGATTCCATCATTATCTGAAAAGGGAGAGGGGCTGGGGAAGAGGGCCTACTGGGTCTAATGGACTGTCTTCATGGCATCATTGTAAGCAAACCCCTGACGTGGCAGTGGTATGTCCTCTGTAACACTTGAAAACAGGCACAGAACCACTAAAAGTTACTAACATTGTTAGTGCCTTTCTGATTCACTGGAGGTCATATTTCAGAGCTGAGTTTCTTAACATTTGGCAATATACTCTTTTTTCATCAAAAAATATCTGGGCAAGTAAAACACTGTCAGAATTGGCTATGGCCCTATGATCATCTGCTGGCTGGTATTTAATGTACGTAGCACTAGGCAGCGTTTTCCTTGCTAACTAACTCGAGGAACTAGAACACTCAATACTGCGCACCTCATGAAACTGCTGGAACTATTCCTCCTAATCCTCAGGTCATGTCAGCAACTCTTATGGGCCAACCCCTTCTTCCCGTGAGGTCGGAGAGAGGCCTGTGTGCTACTGTGGCTGAACCTTGGAAGGATCGGTCAGATTGTCAGTCCTGTGCCGACTCAGTTGCTGCTGCTGCTGAGACTGGTGTTGCTGGTGATGTGATTGAGGGAAAGTGCTCTGTTGTAGTGGAAATGCAGCAGACAGGATAAGCTGAGTTGAAGGATTCCCATGGAGCAACCTAGAAGTCTAAAGACAAATGAATCATGCAACACTACTTTACCCCCATTATGCTGTCTACATTAAGATTACTCAAGTTTTCCACACTCCGTGGGGACAAAACCCTTAAATTCCACATAATCTATGTAATTTTTGCTTTCTCATTTAAAAATGATATTGTGGAAAATGTTTCTAAGGCTTTCCCTCTTTTGAAAGTGTGACAGACATTTTTTAAAAGCATCAGAGCTAGAGAATTTATGGTATAGAAAGCCATCTATGTCTTGAGACAAACCACACATATTTTTCACTTGTTATGTCCTAAAGACCACAATTTAAAACAGATAGTCAATTTTAAGCATCGCTAAGAACATATGAAACACGAATACTCTGAGGTCAAATAGACAAGGGCTTTGCACAGGTTCCTCTGGTTGGTGAGAGTGGGACTTCAGCGGCTGAGCACAAGCCTGAGCTACACTGTCCAGGCTCAAACTCTGGTGCCCCAATCACTAAATGTGCGACTTGGTCAAACTATTTACTTGTCTGGGCCTCAGTTTCTTCATTTACAAAATAAGGATAATCACAGTGCTTTCCATGTTGGGTTTCTATGAAGATTAAATATTAACATCATTATTTAAAGGTATTATAAAAATGAAGGCAAAGTTAGGGACTTAAGTCCTATAAGTAGCAGTGTGGTATAACAAAAAGCCAAAATAAAACAAGAAATGGCACAGGATCTGAAGTCAGAAGCCTTGGATCTGAGTTTTACTCCACCACTCATTAGATGTGTGACCTTGGGCAAGTCTCAACTCTAGGAGCCTCCATTTCTTTCACCTAATTTTTATTATTGGATACACAAAGGAAACTAGCCAAAAGAGTGAATTTTTAAAATTGAAGTCCTTCCTCACTACTGACCATACAACTAATTTTAAAATGAAACAGTGATGGGTGATTTTTGCAAATATATAGATGAAGAATACATACACAGATAGATCTTTGAACTTTAAGAACCAGTTAAGCTTTGCCAAGAACCTTGACAATTTGCCTTCTCTCTTTGTTATTAGAAAAAACTTTTGTAAGATAAAAAACTCAGGATATTCATGAGCTTTCCACGGTTACAACAGAGGTACCTTTTGGAACCAGGTGTTATACAATAAGCCAAATTGTGTATTTACAGTTTGAGTGTACAATTTGAGAAATACACATATGAGTGTATTTCTGAAGGATGCTGCCTACTTATTTCTTTAGGGGTCCCATGTCTTTAGAATGTTTCTTTTAGAAGTGGGGGAGAAGAGAATGCTCATTCTTCTAGGGGTCCTCGTTCTGACAGACTTATAAGACTGAAATCTTAAGGCAAGTCCTATCCTTTTTAAAGCTTTTACTTACTCATAATTCTCATTGAATATATTTCCCCTAGATAATATTGGGTTGTCGGAAAAGTCATGATGTATTTTTTCTATGTTTTTGTTGCAAAAATGTGTCATGACTTTTCTGACAACCCAATAGTTTCTAACTCGCTGTAAATTCTAATTATTAATTCATTTATAACAATAGCTAAGCCAGTCATTAATGGCTGCAGTATAGGCTTATGGTCTAAGGGGTTGCATGGCTTGTGAGATCTAGGCAACTAACTTGTTTTAGTTTTCCACATCACCAAGTTAAGAATTATATTTAGATCAGAACTCCCAGGGCGATAATTAACACTATATTTATACCTGAATATACAGTATAATATGAAATCTTCTAATTATACCATACGTTGTGTAACTAAAATTGATGATATGTGGCTGGCTACATGGAGTGATCTCCAGAACAAATCTAGACTAGCCTACATTCAAAATTGCTCCCCCTAGGACAGAAGAGAAAAAGCTGGATTTCCAGATGTCATAATCTGCTACTGTGTTACCCCAGTGAGGGCAATGAGGTCCAGAAATTTGTCCCGGTTTCCTTGCTGAGGATACCGACCTAGGTGACTTTCTTCTGTATCTTTTAGATAGGTAGCTCCTGTCTGACATACCCACGTGAGATCTGTGTCTGCATTTTGGTCAGTCTGAGTGTCTATCATTTGTGGTCATAAAAAATAGCAAGTTATACTATGTTCAGTGACTTCCATGCATGTGTTACCCATGAGATATGAACTATTAGCACCTCTGTATTATAAATGAGGAAACTGAAGTTTAGCAAGTTAAGTAACCTGCCAAAGGTCACACAGTATGTGGTACAGCAGTGGCCGAACCTCAGGGCAGTCTGACTTTAGAGTCCAAGTTCTTAATTACGACATATACTGTCTCCACAGTATTCTGCTTAATTTATAACCAAAAAATTATAAAATTTAACCTGAAAAAATTTAAGATAATTGCCTAATTTTTTAAAAAGCCCATTTGATACCCTTATCCTGTAGAGAACAGGATTTGATGGGTCACTAGAGAAAGAAAGAGAAGAAAGAAAGGTGCCTTGCTTGAATTCCAGAAACCCAGCCAGAGAGAACTCTACATAAAGTGCCTTGATCTGGGCAAGAAGTAGCCACTTATTCGATCCAGCAGTTCAGATAACTGGGTATGTCCATGGCAGGGCTAAGAGTCTTCCAAAGATTAAACAGGGAAGAAAATATAGCTAACTGGGGTAAGCTTTCTGTTTTTATAGAAATTTAACTTGTACAATAAGCTAACATGGATTTTTCAGATTATTTATAAAAGTATTCATTTAATGCCTAATTTCACTATGTAAGAGCTTATGGGTTTCGGACAGCTTCACCATGTGAAGAATTACCTGTAAAAACTGCTGTGGTGGTTGGGTCAGCTGAGCCTGAGATGGTTGCTGAACTGACGTAAGCTGCTGTTCCTGCGAACTCTGCTGTTGTTGCTGCTGCTGCTGCTGCTGCTGCTGCGTGACTGTCAATGTCTGTGACTGCTGCTGTTGTGTGGCAAAAGTAGGGTAGGCAGTCACCACCTGACCCATCAGCATAGTGCTAGGTACCATGACTGTCCCACAAGCTACAGGAGCAGTTACTAATTTGGTCACAAGTTGCTGACCTTGAGAAAATCTGTAACAGAAAAGAAAGAAGGGGAGTCAGAAATAATAAGATATACATTATAAACGACAGTGGGCTGAATGTTTCTCTAAGATAATACCCAATGATATTGTCAATTTAGTTTTTTTAAAGCCGTATGTCCCAATTTTGGTTCATGTTTTTAAAGATTCCATTTGGGACACCAGTAAAACAAAAATGTGTATACAGTAAAATGAAATGATCATAAACAAAAATACAAATTTTTTTTGGATATCCACATGCAAAAGAATGAAGTTGGACCCTTACCTTACACCATATACAAAAATTAACTCAAAATTGATTAAACACCTAAGCATAAGAACTAAAAATATAAAACTCTTAGAAGAAAAGAGAGGGGAAAAGTTTCATGACACTGGATTGGGCAGTGTTTTCTTGGATATGACACTAAAAGCACAGATAACAAAAGAGAAAATAGATAAATTGTATACCAAAATTAAAAACTTTTATGCATCAAAGGACACTATCAACACAGTGAAAGGGCAATCCACAGAACTGGAGAAAATATCTGCAAATCATATATCTGATAAGGGGTTAACAAATAGAATATATAAAGCAATCCTACAACTCAACAACAACCAGATTAAAAAATGTGCAAGGATCTTAAATAGATAATTCTCCAAAGAAGATATACAAATGGTCACTTAGCATTTCTGGCACCAAAAGACATTCCTCAATCTACTTCTGCTTAACTATCACTTCTGTGGCTTTGTATATGCTGTCCTCTCTACCTAGACTTTCCTCCCCAGGCTCCCAGCCACGCGCACACCCAAAGCTAAGCTCTGTAACACTCAGGCTGAGTTATCTCCCTCCACGAAGCTCTCTCAGACCACACACCTCTCTTTCAGCAAAATAGAACCACTTTATTTTTATTTTTTTTATAGTAATATGACATTTATCTATTTGTTGTTTGTAAAATGTCTGTTTTTTAATTAAAATTTATTGGGGTGACAATGGTTAGTAAAATTACATGGGTTTCAAGTATACATTTCTATAATACATCATCTATATATCACAGTGTGTTCACCACCCAGAGTCAGTTCTCCTTCTATCACTATATATTTAACTCCCTTTACCCTCATCTACCATCTCCCTCCCCTCTTACCCTCTGGTAACCACCTAAGTGCTGTTGTGTCTATGAGGTTTTTTTTGTTTGTCTTATTCGTTTGTTAAAGTCTGACTTTTTAACTTAAAGGAACTGAGTTTCAAAGAGAAGAAATGAGTTCTTTCTGCTCTTACCACCTCTGTGATCCTGCAGCTTCTTTACTTTCTGGAAATTAATTGGATTTTAATATAATCTATTTCACGGTCAAATATAATAGCAAAATTATACTATAAAAGCAGCAGCCTACTTGCATTGCAGTAAAATAAGTTTAAAATAAAATGTACTTAAAATATAAGTTTTAAAACTGTAGAGATCCTAAAGTTAAGGCTTCCCAATATATGAAAATGGCATTTCTTCAAAAAATTTGTTTCTAAGTCAGCTATTTGGGCTTCCTACTAAAATAAACTATAGAGGACTGCTTTTCTAGAATGGCCCACGAAAGTTTAGTGCAGTGTATGTTTAAGCATTTGAGCTATGAAATCAGACACTGAGTCTTGAATCCAGGACCCCTTCTTCTCCCCCTTAACTAGCTATAGGTCCTTGACCAAATTACTAAAAACTCACTTTTTTCTTATCTGGAAAATAAAACACACAAAACACACAAAGAAAGGAAAAAAAGGAATTAAATAACATATTTTGAGCACTTAGTATCATACATAACAAACTCAAGAAAGGTAAGCTTTTTATTCCATAACATATGTAAACTTATGGTAGTGTACACCCTAACCATTGTTACTACATGAAAACTCAACAGTATCCGTATTCAAGTGATTAAAGGTCCACAGTGATACAAAGCCTGTCATAAAACTCATATTACGATTCTATAATACCAGGGTGCCAAAAAAAATGTATTCAAGTGGACACGTTGGTCAATGTTGCTCAAGCAGTAGTTCGCTATAATCAGGAGTGTCTGGATGCTGATGGTAACCACTCTGAGCACCCCTTGTAATTGCAGATGTCAAACGTGACTTGTATTCATCTTTTGCTACTGGTATATATTGAGTATTACAATTTTAATACAGGTTTCCTTTCTTAATATGTGCATACATTTTTTTGGAATCCTCTGCATTTCCTAGCACATTTTTTGCACAGGAAACAAAATTTGTTATCTTTCTATTATAAAGTCCTTAAACAATGGATACATCCTGAGGTTTTATTTCAAATTCAAGAATACTGGCTGGAATGAGCAAACTAAAATCACGTTTTTAAAAATTAAATTATTGATTTTTCTATGAATTAATTTACAACTTTCGAGCGACCTATGAAATACACCAGCTACCTTATTTGTCTGTCCTGAGTGAACGTAGTTACTGCAGCACTCTGGGTACTGTTCTGCGGCATACTAGATGGAATGTGGACCATGCCTCCGGCCGCTGGCTGAGAAATCACCATCGTGTTATACAGTGGGGCTGTGAGAGTGCTTTGTGTCTGACCAGGAAGAGAGGTTTGTTGACTGTGCCCACTCAGTACATTTTGTTGATTCTGCTAGAAAAAATAAGACTTTAATGAGAGATTAACTGAAAACATTTACATCAGGAAGTATGCTTCTACATTATCCTAACAATAGTTGACATGACAGAAAAAGAAGTGGCAGGACATATTACTCTGGAAGAAATCTGACAACAAAGGAATGACTTGTAGTAACTGAGAATGCATCAGTTTTCAATATTTGCTGGAAGGTATGTTATGACTTTAGAAAAAGGAGCATGATCTTAACAGAGATGATGTAAATATACATGAAGAATTTCTGTTAAATGCCCAAAGTGAGTGACTGACATTAGACATTTTTATATATTTCATTTGAAGCCCTGGAATTTATTAAAGTCACCGATGTATACCAATTACCAAAATTTCCTGGAACAGTGATTAAACCATCACTGCCTTAATAATTTATTTTTCACATATGGTAACATGTTGCCTGACCAGCCTCTTTTGCAAGTCAAACCTTTTTAACACATAGAAGTAGTCTTGTATGTCTATTTTTTTTTAATTTGCAAAAATTTTTAAATGTCAAAATATTGAAATCATTTTTCATTCAACAGTTTCAGAACTAACAATTTTGCACAAAATATTTTAATAATCACTCAATACTATACTTTCTAATTATTACTATTAAATTTTTAAATAGGGTATTGTTCAAGATAGAGCTTTATTTTTGTTTTAGCAATAGTATACATTTCAATCACTGAACACTCCATAGCCCACTGTACTCAACAACATTACCTGACTTGATGTACTTTGCAAAGTGTGCTGTTGTATCATATGCTGAGTTGTGCCAATGTGTCCAGTATTCATTCCACTTTGAATTTGGTTAGTTTGAACAACTTGGCCTTGCATATTTATAGGTGCAAGTTGCTGGATGTTAGATGAATTTCCAGAAGAAAGTTGAACGGACCCAAAATTCAACCCAGGGGTTGATTGTTGTAAAAACATCTTTAAAAATAAAGATTACATTAAAATGAGGTTTGTAGATTCAAAACAAAGAAGAATGAGAGCATTAAAAAAAAAAAGCAAAAAGCAAATAACAAGACTATGTCATTCTGAATGAACAATTAGCAATAAATAATTACTGAATAAAACATACCTCAGAATCATTCTTCCAGTCATCCTAAATATATCATGTTTCCAATTGTTAGAAAAAGTGTCAGAAATTTCAAAATCTTTGAGTATTTTACATTTTGGAGATTATTTGTTGTATCAGTTAGCATTACCCTAACTCAATGCTACTCACTGCTTTCTACAAGGCACCTCTGCATTGCTTATCATTTACAATTTACGCCACTAGATGGAAGTAGTTTTCAGTTAAAGTTTTCCTTACCAAAGTCCTAGTCTCCTTTGACAGACAGAACTTTAGATTGACCTTGCTGGTTGACCAAATAAAACTATCAAATTATACCTACTCGTTATTTTACTAAAACAATGATGAATGATTTATAAATTCTGTACCTACACATACCTAAAAGTCTATGTAAAATATAATTTTTATATTATGGGTTTAAGTTTACTAAAACTTGAACTGCTAAAAGATGACTCTTATCTGGAGAAACAAGGATGCTGATGGAAATACTTTTAAGAATCAATTATCTTTTAGATATTGTAAATGCAATCATACTGAGTAGGTAACCAATGAGTATTTATTGAAATGTATCTCCTGCATCTCATTTTAAATTAAGAATAATCAATTTTCCTAAGAAACCAAAAGGTGAATGGCATACTTTGAACCAAATATAGTAATAACTTACCTGCAGGCCTTGACCATGAACCATTTGAAGTTGTTCTTGAATTTTTCTTAATTCTTCTTGTTGCCGATGAATATTTGCCTCTATCATCCGTGTTCGTTGCTCCAGTTGGTCTTTCAGATGCTGCATGGCTCCTAATTGAGCTGAGAACTGAAACTGAAGCACCATGTATGGAAAAAGTGTAATATTTTAAAATATTCACATAAAAATTCTATCAATGTTCAGAATAAAAAGGATTTGAGGACTCAATAACTGTAAAAGGTACATATAATATTTAATAACAGTGCTATTATGAACATTTTACATGATCATATGTTGCTAGAAGTCAAAATTACAATGTTTAGGAAATTTATTACCAAATTCTCAATATATTTGTATAAGTGCCCTCTGTATAATTTAAATAATAACCATGTAAGACAAAGGTATTTTTAGTAAAACATTGTTTTTAACTATTGTTAACTATCATTATTTGAAATTAAGATACTTTTAAGTGAAGGTATATTTAATAACAAACAACATAGAAAATTTTGGATTACTTTTACTACTACTACTACTACTACTACTACTACTACTACTACTACTATTTTTACTGTTTGAGGCACTGAATGAGTGCAGAGTCATAAATTACAAGTTGGGAAGTTATAATCAAAAGTAATTTCATGTCACTTTTGTAATACTGCTACTTTGTCTTGCTTATTTCTACGTTAGGCCTTTTTCAGGCTCAGCCCAAGCAAAAATTCTTGTGTGCTCTGAAATCACTTACGGCCTTTGGTTTTTTGTTTTTGTTTGTTTTTTAAGCTGAGCCATCCTGCCACCTGTTGGCAGCTCAGCGGCAGCTCAGCTTGGGCCGGTAATCGAACCTGTGACCCTGTTGCTCATAGGTCGCTCTCTTGAGCGAGCTCTTGACCAATTGAGCCACTCAGTCGGCCTTCAAGCAAAAACAGTTCCTTCACCTCCTCAGGTTGCATTGGTTGTCACCCAATATGCGCACCTCTCAGCCTATATACCTTGAGCATAGGCTATATAATGTATTGTAGTTGTCTGTCATTGTAATAAAGCCTTGTAATATAGATATTATATATTTGTACTGCCAGGACCTGCAATATCTGACACATACAAGGAACTCAATAAATGTCCTATATATGAACAAATGAATAAATGAATAAAATTACTTGATCCTTCCAAAATCCATAGGAAGAACAGAATGAAAAGCTGCATTTCATCTTTAATATATTACTGTCTGTGGTGTTTCTCAAAGATGGTGCTGTAACATATTAAGCAGGGTCATTCTTTATTGTGCAAAACTGTCATGCATCCTAAAAGATAATTAGCATCTCTGGCCCTTGCCTACCAAACTAAGGGCCAGTGGTACCCCAAAACAAAAATAATAAAAATATCCCCAGATATTCTACATGCCCACAGTTGAGATTCACTATATCTGTAAGAATTTTTTTTAAAAGTCTGTTTATTAGCTTAAAAGTAATTTATCATTTCAAAATACTCAAAACAAACAAACAAATAAAAATACCTGGGACAGGCCTTGTGGAACTGGTAAATTTGTGGCTTGAGACATCACTGGCTGTGTTAATGATTGACCAATAGACTGGGAATTTATTGACTAGAAGCAAAAACAAAACAAAACAAAACAAAAACACTGGAGTGATGATCATTCCCATGCATGAGTACTTCCACCAGAAATATCACCATGTTATCTTTATAACTGAATAACTTTTGCCTCATACATTTTCAGTTGAGTACAGGCATGTCTCCCCCTCTACAATGAAAATGCCTGTTCCCTATTGGTGTTTTTATCTTCCAAAGCACCTGCCACATTACCCTGCATGGGCTCTCAATAAAAGTTGACTGGATTTAGCTGAAAGTGATAGGTATTTAAACTTATACAGAGAATGGCTCTAAATTATCAGCTTTTAATAACTGAAAGAAATACCTAACATGTTACTTGAAAAAGAATTAAAAGGACTGATATATTTGACAACTACTTCACAAAAAAATAAAGATCTCAAGTGTTATATATATCAACAACTATTTTGATATTTATTGAAAGATAATGAATCAATTAATTTCTGAAGATTTACATGACTTTGTTTCCCTTTTAATCAATCTTCATTCAGAAGTACACTAACTAAAGAGTTTACCTGACTACTGAATGATGACCTCCTTTGTGCCATCTTTTCATGAGCTGCTAAATGCTGTCTAGGAGGAGTGCTAGTATCCGTTGGGATCTTTGTTGGTGTAGCTGAGATCAAACAAAAACAGAACAGCATTAGTCACTGTATAAAATACAGTTTTCAACGATGAATCTCAAAATGCATTTCAGTGAATAAAAATAAGGTCTTTGGGTTGTTTTTCTAAATTATTCAAAAGTCAAGTTTACAATGATAAGCTAATTCGTTTTAATCCCCCTTTTTTTTTTAATTGGGGAACAGTGTGTTTTTCCAGGATCCAATAGCTCCAAGTCAAGTAGTTATTTCAATCTATTGGGTTGTCGGAAAAGTCATGACATATTTTTTCTGTTTTTCATTGCAAAAATGCGTCATGACTTTTCCAACAACCCAATGGTTGTGGAGGGCACAACTCAGTGATCCATGTGGGGATTGAACCAGCAACCTTGGTGTTATGAACACTGTACACTAACCAACTGAGCTAACCAGCCACCGTAATTACTTCTTTTTTAAGGACAAAGAAATATTTGAAATAGGAAAACTTTAAATATAGAAATGGTTACGACTCCTAAAACTCTGTAGTAAAAAAGCTAATTCAATTAAAAAATGGCTTAAGGACTTGAACAGACATTTCTCTATAGAAAATATACAGAAGGCCAACTGGTATATGAATAAATGCTCAACGTCACAAATCATCAGGGAAATGCAAATCAAAACCACAATGAAATACCACCTCACACCTGTCAAAATAACGATAATCAAAAAGACAAAACAACAAGTGTTGGCAAAATGAGGAGAAACTGGAACTCTTGCAAAATCTTAGTGGGGATCTGAAACAGTGCAGTCACTAAGGAAAACAGTGTGGAGATTTCACAAAAAATTAAAAATAGAACTACCACATGATCCAGAAATCCCACTTCTGAGTATTTACCCAAAAGAACTGAAATCAGATTCTCAGAGATTAGCACTACGTTCATTGTAGCACTATTTACAAATAGCCAAGATGTTGAAACAACCTAAATGTCCATTGACAGATAAATGAATAAACAAAATGTTGTATATACATACAATGGAATACTATCCAAGCTTCAAAAAAGAATAAAATTCTGCAATATGTGGCAACATGGATGAACCCTGAGGACATCAAGCTAAGTGAAATAAGCCAATGGCAGAAAGACAAGTAGTGGATCACTGCATTATATGAGGTATCTAAAATAGTCAAATTCATTGAATCAAAGAGAAGTATGATTGCCAAAGGATGGAAAGGGGTAAGTGGTGACTAATCAATGGGCATAAAGTTACAGTTAAGCACAATGAATGAACTCGAGAGATCTGCAGGACAACACTGTACCTATCATCAACAATAAACTATTGTACACTTAAAAATTTAAGAGGGTAGATTTCATTTTAAGTGCTGTTACCACAATAATTTTTCTTTTCTTTAAGATTTTTATTGGGGAATTGGGGGGATGGGAACAGCGCTGGGAATTGGGGGAAGGGGAACAAACAAGTTGCTGTCGTTTTGTTCTTCAGTCTAGTTGTGGAGGACGTTGCTTCACTGGCCCAAGTTGGCACCATCATTGCGCTCTTCCTGGGCGAGGCAGATCAGTCGCCGGCTTCTGGACGGCCGCTCACTGCGGCTGCTGGCCGCTCACGCTGGCTGCTGGCTACACACGGTAGCCCATGGCAACCCACTGCCACAGGGGCTGCAGCCTACGCCGTCGCCGGCGACTCACGGCAGCCCAGCTCCAGGTTGAGCTGTTGTTCAGCATCTTAGCTGTAGAGGGCAGTGTCACTGGCCCTCATATGTGGGATCCGAACCGGGGCCTTGTGGCATTCCAAGCCAGCTCTTAACCAACGCGCCACTCGGCAGGCCCACCACAATAATTTTTTTTAAACAAAGAGATATAATAGGGAGAAACAATGTCAGAAATCCTATATTAAACCTCTTTGATGTTCTACCCACAATGTTGAATAGTTTCTTCTTATTATATATACTTTTAAAACCGAGAAATAAAAGTTACTCTTAAAAAAAGTTACTAATTTACTGACAATTATGCCAGTCTTCATAAATATAAGACACTAAAAAAAAACCCCAAAACATTCAAAAAGCAAACTTAAAACTACTTACTGGCTCTACCAGTAAAAAAAACAAACATTTTTGCTTCCTTTTTGAGGGATGATTAAAAACAACTTAGCAATAACAACATTACTATCTACGTATTTTAGAGACTACTCATAAACTTCGTTTTTTGCTAAATGTGAGCAATGTGCCTCTTACTGGAAAGATTAATATATTTCAGAAATGTAAAAATTTATTTTAAAGTAACATTTGAGGAAAAATGCTGATACCAGTAACACAGACAATTTAGAAACATTCTCTTTAAAGGAAGCCTGCATTCAAGCTAGAGTACTCACAGGAAGGGTCTGAGACTGCTGTGTGAGATGATTTTCTTGAACTCCGGGAGGAAGCAGAGGGGGTTGGGCTGTGATCGAACCTTTCCAATGCTTCCTTGAGACTGACTGTGTTTATACGATTATCAGACCCAGAATCTTGGCTCTAAGGAGAAAATAAAATAAATGTTTTCTTGTGGTTCAATTCAGAGATCCCAAATTATCAATATTGCCTGCTAAACTCTCCTCACCCAAATTAGTTTTCTCCCCTAACAAAGCAGTGATATCTGGGTATATAACAAATAAACGAAAACGTATTTTTTATAGCCAAAAAGTTTTGGGTTCATTCTCAATTTAAAAATCCCACAGATGCAAAAGAATGAAGTTGGACTATTACTATATACAAAAATTAACTCAAAATGGATCAAAGACCTAAACATAAGAATTAAAACTATAAAACTTTTAGAAGAGGAAAAGCTTCATGACATTGGATTGGGGAGTGATTTCTTGAATATGACATTAAAAGAACAAGCAACAAAAAGTTCTTCAGAGGACAGTATACCAGCGGGGAAAGGCAACCCATGGATGGGACAAAACATTTGCAGTATCTGATAAGAAATTAATACCCAGAATATATAAAAAACTTCTACAATTCAACAGCAAAAAATTAAAAAACCAAACAATCCAATTACAAAACCAGCAAAGGTCTTACAGACATTTCTCCACAGAGGATAT